GCTAAGGGACGTATAATAGCCTAACTGAGCATATGACCCAATTGATGCAGAATACTTTGTTGACAATGGATCAGTGGACAAAAATGACCTACCAACACAAATGATCCAACAGACATACTTGATCCAATAGACGCAAAGGAACTCATGGACACAAATGATCCACTAGACACAAATGCTTCAGCAGACACACATTATCCAAGAGATACAAATCATCCAACTGACACGAATGCTACGATAGACACAAATGATCCAATGGACACAAATGATCCAACTGACACTAATGATCCAATAGACACAAATGATCCAACAGACATTTAACACGCGATTTTTAATATCTATTGTTGACCATCATTGTTATTTTCCGTCGGTCATTCTGGGCTTTCCGAGCTAGCACAAGCGATTCACTCCGTAAAACACCACGAAAATGATTTGCTTGAGGAGCATTATGGAGAGTAATTAATATCTGCTGAAATCATGAAAAATTCTCTGGCTAGTTTCTTCACACAGGCTGCTAAATGAATGGTTAAAATCTCGATTTCAGGACCTCCTGGTCTCGTGTAGCGTCCTAACCACTCGACCACGCCTAGGTGTCATTCTACCACACGGATCATAAAAAACGCATCAAATTTGTAGATAACCTGTGGCAGAACACGACTTCAAGTGCGTAATTAAACTAATGTTGAAAATCACGTGCTTACGGCGTTATCCGTTCATACGAAAATGCTACCGGACGTCGTGTTGAGATACTTGGTATCGAGAAAAATGCTCAGGAAAACAGAATGTTCATTAGCGTGTCAATCAAGGTTTAAATATCGCGTTTTTCCGGCGTTAACCGACCCGTGACAACACATAGAAAATACCAAGGTACAACACACTAGAAAATTAGGAGAGAACATCTAGGAAAACGGAATGTTAGCCAGTGTAATGCTTGTGCTGGAAAACTCGTGTCGAGTATCATGTTTTAACCGAATTAGCCGCTTCAAGAAAATAATAAACAAAACACCCTGATAAGCCACGCTGGATAACCAATGTAGAAATTGCATGAATGTAAAACCGTATCAAAACATTACACCATACAGTCATTTTGATTTTCAGACAGAGATGTAGTTGATGAGGTTACTGAAGAGATAAACTATAGTTCAGTGATTTTTCCTATTCTTTCTCACTCTAGGCCCAATCAGTAGATAAAATGCTAAACCTAATCAATTATAAGCCACTTTGTTTATAAACTTTTTGAATTGTAACAAAGTCTCAACAAAGTGATGTCCGTGAGGAGAAGTTCGACTGAACTGCTATCACATTGGGAATCAAACCACTTTTCACTTGTTGGTCGCACTCAGTTTATTTGCCTGGGAAGTATTTCCTGATCCACAATTTTATCAATTATATCTGCGAGTTAGTACTTGCACTATGATTGGGAAGTTTAACGGGCTATATGAAACTGTTCAGGTTTTTTTAAAGTTTCGGCTTTTCGAACCGAAATCATCGCTCTCTGTTTGAACCCAGAGATTTCATGACCTCGTTTTCTCGATCCGTATTTTCAGTAAGTTTGGTAACCTCGTTGAGGGCCATCCGAGGGGGAAAAAACTCGTTCCGAACAGAAATAGAGGTCAGTAAGAGGTCTTTATCTTCACCAATAAAAATTGTACATTAAATTATCATAACCACCTGCGTTTTAAGATGCTATAGGGTGAATAAACTCTTTGGAAATCAGACACTTTGATCGAAGCCATTGTACAAATATCGTACTAACCTGGCCTTAAATTTATAACAATTATGAGGGCTTCACAAAAGGCTGCTGCGTTGATTTTCAAAAGAAAAAATTATTACATGATTCGAGAATGCCTTTTTGTGGTGCTACAAACGTTACTATCTAAAAAGATCGTAAAGCGATGAAAAAAACAGATGTTTAATAAGTCACAGTTAAACAGCCAGGCTGCTAAGCATGATTCAAAATGGTAACGGTCGTTGTCCATTTTTACACAAATGATGATAAATTCCGGAAGTTAGTTTGCCCCAGGAGGGAGGGGGTGACTCCATGGTTTTCTGGTATAAGCGGGAGACAAAGACGTGAATATGAAAGCGATCTTCGCGGTAATGAACACTACTTGAGCACTAGTGAAAATAAGGCCTGAAAAAAATATTTATTTTTTTTATTCTTTATCCGCAGTTCAAATATATGACTTTCATATATTCACAGTCGTTTATTCATCACTTCACGGGTTTATTTGGAACCAACGTAATAAATAACTCTTAGTTGGCTTGTTAGCTCAGTTGGTAGAGCGCTGCACCAGTATCGCATAGGTCATAGGTTCAAATCCCGTGCTGGCTTGAATTTTTTTTCAGGCCTTATTTTCACTGCTGCTCAAGTAGTGTTCATTACTGCGAAGATCACTTTCATATTCACATGGGAGATTGTTGTAAAGAATTGCATCTCAGCTCGTTGGCTGAGTTATGCAATTATATAGACTGTTAAAAGTATAACAAACCTTTTTCGGAGCTAACTGAACCTTAAAGTTTTAGAAAAAGGCGCAAAGCGAGTGGTAATTCACCGCGTTGGAATCTTTGGAGTCTTTTCTTGTGATACTTGCAGCTACTCTCTGTGTCGTCGAGCTCTTCCTCAAATTTCTGTCGCTTGGTAATTTAATTCTTCAAAGATTCTTCTAGCGCTCGTTTTCAATAAAATAATTATCAAGCTCGTGATAAAATAACTTGGCAGAATAAGTGACACCGAAACCTCCACTTTTCTTCTTTGCTCGCTTTAGTTTTGCACACATAGTCCCAATCTTTTTCCTTCATGACATTTGTTATTCGATTATTGACGATGATGTCTCTAATGCCCGTTTGTTGCATGATTTTCTCCACAACTGCAGCGAACGTAGATCCGCCACTCCCCTCTCCATTCTCTTTGGCAATTGTGTAGAAGAGATAGCTGAAAAATTGATAGACACGACCAGTAGCAGATATATTCGAGACTTATAATTACTAGCAACAAAATTTTAGTATTATATGAAATTCCGTATCTCTGAGAACTAAAGGAGAAAAATAAAATCGCTTAATTTATTTGTGAGCTACCTACTTGTAAATACTGCATGTAAACGAAGGTAATGAATGGCCAGAAAATCCTGATTTTGAACCCTCTGATCTTTCTCCCACGGCTTTTACGGATCCGCAGAAGACCAGATGTAAACCCAGGGGGAGTGCTCCAACTTGAGCGGCCATTTGACCCATCGAAATCGGTCGCAAACTAGACAAATTATATACCAAAATAAAGGAAATTTTTCGCTCCATTCGAATGTGGCGATACAATTGAGATCCGAACATGTGCAAAAGAGCTAGGACCCATTCTTACGCGCTAACCGTGACACGACACTTTGGAAGCCTTTGAAAATTGCCTATCGCAATTTTGAAAAATAAATTTTGACCCATTAAATCCTAAAGCTTTGGTATTTCAAAATAACTTATAAAGTAGCTTTAATATTCGTCTTTTAGATTTTGTTGGTAAAATTAATCACTATCAAAACGTCTCTTATTAATCGAGCCAAAGGTTCCAAATTTTGTGTGTTTTTGAGTCAGACAGTGGCACTGAGGCAGACAGACAGTGGCAGTGAGGCAGACAGACAGTGACAGTTCACCCCATCTCAAGCACTAACCTATGCCTAAAGAAAACGCTGATCATCTTACTACAAGCAAGGGATGTAAAAAAACTCTACATCGAAAGCACCTCATGATCTCGTGCGACAAGTCTTGAACAACGACAATTCGTCCGTTAAAAGACACATTCTAATGAGCCAAATGACAATTCACAATCAAAGCATTGAAGCGTTTTATAACCGAAGGTGAAAGCCTGAACCGCAAAAACCCCCGGGAAGAATGTATTGAACTAGGAGACCTTTTACTCTAAACTAGACTGCTTAGACTTTTGTTCTCGCTAAAACTCATCAGTAATTTTCCATGTTATATTGTGTTGCCATGCTGTTAAGACATGCATGTGAGTCTTAAACTCCAGGCGGTGTGCGCACTCTGATTGCGTTGCGTCATGGTGGTAAAACGAAAAATAAGTCATTTGTATTCTGTCGTGGTCGAGTGAGCATCTCTGGTAGCAGCATGATAGCGTGAATAAATTTGGAATATAATGGAAATTCAAATTCAATTCGCACAAATGAAAATATTACCTTTTGTAACTCAATCTCATCCGGCTTTGCCAAACCTCAAGAACATACAGATGGGGAAATGACACCTTAAAACTAACCTTTAATATCACATCGCAAATGGAAGTCATTAAAGGATATCCTAATAACAGCTAAGCTTTCAGGTTAGAAGATTTAAAAGCGCAAGCGAATGGCAGGAGTCGTTCAAGCTATCAACACCTTTTAACGATCGACTACCTTTTGCTTTTCGGCTTACCCGGTGTGTCGCCATGCGCATTGTAGAGTTATTCATTGGACAAGTGATTCCGTTCATAGCTCAAATTTAACTGTCCTTCATTCAGTGATCAAGATAGTAGATTCCATACAACACTCGCGATAAGTTAATTTCCTTTTACTTAGGAAAGTAGATTTACAATACAATTGAGTATATAATAGTAACGCTGTGTAACGCAACAATAAGCCTTTTCTCGGCTATAATCGGTCTCAAACACCCGCACTTAAAATGCAGGAAACACGTGTACCGTTGGAGAGCGTTTGGTCAGAGCTGTTAAAGAAGGATCAAAGCAGCCATCCAAATCTTTGAAAGGCTCCAAACTACGACGTACATCAAATTTGACCTTCTTGAAATCCGGTCTCAAATTAAATACAAAAAAAAAACAGTGATCACGTTTGTCCTTGAGAACCATACAATACGCGACAAATACGAACAAAAAATACTTTTACAAATTCAGAATAAATCAAATTACATTTACCTATGGTGAAAGGAAAAAGGAACGGCCTAACTTTTACGGAATGTTCAGTCAAAATCTGCCGAATTCTGCTGCTTTCACCGCCATATTGAAAATGAAGCTACCACAACGCAACGCAATCGGAGTGCGCAACAGGGCTTATCACTGGTCTTTGTTGTCTTTGAGAGCATTTTTGAACAAAGACTGAACAATTTTCACAGCAGACTCCCCCTTTCCGTCGAGTCTGGTGATGTGAGAAGGAAGATAGGTGAGTGAATTCCCAATCGAACGGAAAGTGATGAAATTCATAGCTTGTAAACTGAGGAGCGTTGTCTGTTTCTGTTTTTTCTGGAATGCCACGTCTGCTGAATTGTTCCTTGAATATTTCAGCTACGGAACTGGAGCTGTTTTCTTCCAATTTCTTTAATTCCATGAAATCCTAGTAGAGGTCAACACGCATGGAGTCTGAACTGGTCAGAAACTACTCGACTCTAGCGGCGGTCAGGAAATTCGTGACCCTGCTATGGAAGCCTCTAATTCTTAGCTTGAAATTCGTTGCAAATTGAAGGTCACGCTCTTCTGCATTCATTCTTCGGAGCCTGACTTTGTCACCTTGATTCTTTAAGCCGCTAACAAGCCTGTCCCCGATCAGCTCATCTGTTAGTGCACCGTATTCGCTGGACGCGGCTAATTTTCTTAGAGGTGTGACATAACTTTGCACAGATTGTACGCTTTGTGTTACACACGTATTCAAACATACGCTAAATTCTGTTGGGCCTGGATTAGTTTTCCAAGGCTTCTAAACAGCTGTCGATTTTCTTGTTAGAAAGCTTCTCTGCCCATCGATGAACGCGGAAAAGTCGCTCAAAGAACCAATTCTTGCCGCTTATTGAGTCCTGTTGCTATCTCATAATCGCTCCATTGCAGCTCGAAAAGTCCCAGTTGCCAGCAACGTCACCATGGTACTTCATAAGAATTGGTAGCGGAAAATTATATGTAATAACTTGATGATAAATTGGCGTAGTAAGTTTACCTGAGCTAGGTGCTGGCGATGATGGCGTAGTGATTTGCGCATCCGACTCCACGTTGTCGTTGTCTGCCGGAATTTTCTCACACTTTGAGCACAAGATTTATTCTGAAATGACGAAGAAAAGAAAGAAACAGCATAAGAAATGCACCTTCGGCGTCTGATGTTCGAAAGAGGGTGCAGAATCCTTAAATAGTACACTCTTTCTCCTGACGCTATTTTAATACATGTGACCCTTAAACCTAGTGAGCAGCAGTTGCCAAGTGCTACAAGATTCATTTATCGAAACAATCGCCATGTAAGGAAACTTATTGTCCTTAAAGAAACTCTGATTGGTCGAGAGCATACAGTCAACAGACAAAATCCATGAGAGGCCTCGGCGTTGATAACGCATGACTGTCCTCAACCTAATCTACTCGTTGTAGTTCTGTGTGTTGTATTCGTGCCGCGTTGTACCACAAGGCTGTATCGTTAAGTAGAGGTATAAAGAACGTCACAAGCGCTCTTAGCTGTTGTAAGGTAGGTATATTTGCACAAGTTTGACTGGTTCATAGTTGTAAACGTCGTCATACACCATAATAGTTTTGGCATGGAAGACTGAGAAGGAATCGAGCTGGCTCAAAGGAAGCTTTTTATTCATTGTTTAATAATCTAGAGGCTGTTAAAATAATTTTTTTCGAGTTCTGCGCAAGCTTGAATCGCAAAAGCTTTCCTAGAATCTAATGCTCGCTTGCATATATAGACGTAGACGCAATATCGCTTACAGTTGTGGGCTTTTTTTCAAACCTTAAATGTTTCACACAAAGCTGTATGGAGACTGAAAAGAAATTGCTCTCGTTTGAGAAAGCTCGTAACTCGATGTACAAAAACTTAGAAGTTGTTGAAATCGTTTTTTGAGGACCGTGTCAGTTCGAGTCGCACTCTTGGGATCTGGCCCCAGTTGTTCAAAGGATGGATAACTACTTATCCGCTGGATAAATCGCTATCCAGTGGATAAATGTTAACCATGGCGTCATATCGGTTGTTCAATGTATGGATAGCGCTATCCACTCGCTATCCAGTAGATAAACTTATCTATGGTTAGGTAGGTAATATAAATTCGTATCCATCGGATAGTAAAAACATTAAATGGCCGATGCGCGAGGTTGACGGTCATTTCGTTCCATGGTCAGGGCGTAAACCAGAACAGGTTTCTCTTTCAAGTGATAATGTTGCATTTACAATCACTTCACATCGAGCGCTAACAAACACGCAGGTACGTAGTACTTTATTGAATATCCTCTGTTCTATATTGTAGTCAAAAATCGACAGACATAAGCTCTCGGTATTGCGTGCATAGTTTATTCACACGTTGATAAGCAATGCACACTGGAATTAACATACGACGCCGCCACTGTTACGGAAATAATACTTAAAATACTTTCGTTCATATCATGTTCTGCTCGCTACTCTGTACTCAGAGACCACATTTATAAAATGTATATTATTTATGTGGAGCGACCTGAGTTTTGTTTTTTTGCAACGAACCGACTATTTTGTGAAACGATCTGACTAAGGACTCTGACCCTGGAACGGAATGACTGGATACCTCGCTCGACAGCTACATCTTCTTTGGTGTAACTTGCCCGAAAACCAACGTCGTATAAAGCGAAGAACTTTCGCTGCCAGCTGGATCGCTTAGAGTCTGAGACCTAGATTTCGTTTTGGACGAGAAGCAATACAATACATCGTTAACCTTGCTGCGTACGAAATAACATCACAAACAGATAGGAACAATGCCGTCTCAGCCGTAATGCAAGTCCTTGTCGGGTTCGTTTCTGCTGGAGATCGAAGATACTTTTCTAGGATTTGACGAGTTGACTTTCAGCCGAGTAGTTTGTCGAGTGACACATGCAATGACTGCAAAGTTAGGCGATTGCGTAAGATTTCCGTCCACTCGTGCGGAACGATACGACATTAAAGAAGGTTTGTTTCAAGTTGGTAGTTTCCCTTGTGCCATTGGGTTCATCGATGGTACCCACGTTAGAATAACTGCCCCCACGAAAATGAGCCAGACTTCGTGAACCGAAAAGGATTTCACTCCATCAAAATGTCCAGGCATCTGTGACCTTCGAGGTCAAAGAGGAGCAAATATGTCTAGCTCTGATTATTGATTAAGCAACGGAGAACATGTTCGTTTAACCCTAAGCTTTACTGTGCATACTATCTCATGTATATAACAGGAGTTATTTTACCCTGAATGTGGGCATGAAAGCCGTAGAAATTTCGCATCCAACGTGTAACGCTTTTCTGACACGTTAGGAGCAGTGAGCCTCAGACTGTCTTGAGCATAACATGTGATCAAACATGTGATCACGAGATTCACGCAAATACAATTTACCTTGTAAACATCTGAGTGATATTGATTGAAAATTATTTCCGTCTAGTGCCTTGATCTAAACGCTGCAACAAGAGGTCCTTTTATAAGATCACTAATTAGCGGCCTTTTTTCTGACGAGGTGTAAATAGGCGTCAGGAAGCAGACCGCCATCGTCACGATTTAAAGGAGCGTGGGCGGAGTTAATGTGCCAAGCCTCCAAACAAAGGCGCTGGTGGTGACTTTGATTAGTGGTGATAATTTTAGAATTATCCCACCCAATTGTATGGTTAGTTAGGCAAGTATGCTCCGATAAAGCTGAATTTTCCTTTTTGCAAAGAAAAACCTCTTTTTGGTGCTCTTTTAACCGTGTACCAAACTGGCGTTTGGTCTGTCCGATGTATTCGTTGTCACAGTCATTGCAAGGAATAGAATAAATGGCGTCGGTTCGTTGTTCTTCTTCGGTTACATTCATTAAATCTGCAAACCAGTGTAGCATCAAACTATGTCTGATTGTCCTTTAAACCCATATCTTAAATGAACTAAATTTTCATTTTAGTTTTTGGCGGTGACAGAAACAAGAATTAATGACAAGAATGTTGACTTTAATCTAACCATACCAAATTACAATTTTGAATATGTTCCTATGCCTCTTTCTACTGAAGGTGTAGGAATGTATTTAGACAACAACATACAAAACAAAGTCATTGAAAAAGCCTCTAATGAAGCTTTTCAGACACTTTGGCTTGAAATTGAATTCACTAAGAAAAGCAATTTTATTTGTGGTGTTGTCTATGGACAACATAATTCTGCTGACCACTTCTTGGAATATTTTGAAGAAGCTGTTGATTGATATAGTGCCACTGGTAGATAAATCTACCTCTTAGGTGACATCAACATAAATATTCTTAAGTCAAAGACATGTAATTACGCTCAGAAATGTTTAAATAACTCTGCCTCACTTATTGATATTATTTTCTTAAACAAACTCAAATATTATACTGCTAGTGGGAATATTGTTTCAGATCTCACTAATCGTTTTTCTTAATTTTGCATCCTTAAATTGACCATTGAAACCACCAAACCTTGAAAAATGGCAGCTCATGACTATTCAAAATTCTCTCAGTGAATGTTTTTGCCGGAATTGTCAGAACTCACATGGGAGTCTTTACCACCTGTTGAGGATCCCTCCAAGTTATTTTCCACCTTTTATAACAAGCTGAATAAGCTGGTAAACAAGCATGCATCATTTTGAACTTTATCAAAGCATGATAGTAAATAGCTGGAACAACCGTGAATCACTAAGGGATTCGAAAAGCAATAAAAATAAAAAATTAGCTTTTTCTCCAGTGATTGGAGAATATTGTATAGACAGCTGCTGAACGTTTTAATGCGAGAGGATACTCATGTTGACATCCATACTTTAATTGACAAATTTAGGAAATTATAATCTTTATAGTTTCATTTGTTGTTGTTTTTTTTTGTAATTTTATTCCAGTTGGAATATGTAACACCTAATTGGCTTATCTATCTCATGTATATGCATGCATGCCCACTGAGTCATTTCCTCTGTTCAGTCAAACTTGTTATTGAAGAACTCATTTTAAGTTTGTTTCCCTCCCACCTTGATTAGTTTTGCTATTTTGTGGGTAGGGATTGATAGATATGTATTTTAATTGCTAAAATAAATAAATATTATTGTTGTTGATTCATGGAAATCTTAGATAATGACAAATCTTTTTGTTTTAGGAAAGAAAGAAAGAAAGTTTCACAAGACATAATCAAAACCATTGTAATTTGATTAATATTTATTTATAAACTGTCTTCTGCCTCACTTCAGAGGCGAATAGTTGTTGTTGACATTACCAAAGATGAATAACACAACTTTTGAGCGAAAACTGTTCAATCACTTTATTCACTTATGGCAATGTTTACAGCAGATGCTGTCTCAGATCATAACTTTGCAGTTAAAAAGAAGCCCAGTGTATGAAAGTTACAAACAACTAAAGATTTGATTACGCTGGTCTAATAAATAACTAAATGAATAAATAAAAAGCTGCACTAAAATATATAGTGATCTAGAAGGAGTGAAATGGTCACCCAATGAGTAGCTCTCAGATTGAGGATCCAAAGGACACCAGTGTTTTCTCAAAAATGTTGTGAGTTTTCAATATATTTATTTAGCATAATTGTTCCGGTGAAAATGGAGATGCACACACTCTAATTGGTTGAGGATTGCATCGTATCCCCCCATAATCATTTCGCAGAAGGTGATTATTACAGGGGTGCTAAATTTCAAAATGGCCACCTTGCAATGTTTCAATGTTGCAGATGAAGTCATAAACACTATAGAAGAAAATTAAATTCCGAAGGCATAAAAAATGCTCCTAAGTTTCCCATGAAATAATAATGTGAAGCTTTTGCTGATTGGAAGAAGTAAGATTGGCTGATGATCTCCAAACCAATGGACAAAACAATTGTAACAGAATGCTGTCAACAATAAAACAAATTTACAACAGAATCGCATAATTGAATAAAATCTCGCATTCTGATTGGTCAAAGAAGCAAAGTATTAAGCATGGAATTGCGAGTTGAAAACAAGGCTAAGTGATAGTTTTGCATCTACAGAAATATAAAAACTATCGTCAAATTGTAACAAAGTTTTCTACAACGTCATTGTAAAGTGTTTTCAAAACCATTGTCATCTTTTGGGCAAAAGCATTTTTCAAAGTGAGCCAGAGGTTCTTTCCTGTTTTGAAATGAACTACAAATTCTTAGAAAGGCATGAAAAACCTCTTCCGCTCGCAACAATGAGAAAGCAAGGAAATCCTGTGAACACGGCCCAGAAAATGACAAGCAAAAGTTCAACTGAACAAGACGAAGAAGCGAAAACCAAAGAAGCCCCAAGGTCAAATGTCATGTATATATAGCGGAAATTCAAATGTGTACGACTGACCTGGCTTCCTATTCACTAACGCAATGACAGTTCTGACAGTTGACTTTGAAATGGCTTCCTGGGGCGCGTGCTCAGGATAAAAACAAACAATGTTATTACTGTTTTCTTTTTTTCTTAATTTTATTCAATTATACAATTCAAGGAAAATTAATTACCTGACTCGTGAATTCTGCATTAAATTGCACATGAAAACTAATAACACACTCATCACTTTGCGTTTCCTGTGATATCGGTTTTCGCGTGCAATTTAACGCAAATTCCCTCGTCAGGTAATGAATTTTCCTATAGAATTTGAAAGCACCTGAGCAATTATACTAAAACAATTATTTGCTGATGGTGAAGTGAATAATGTTGAATAATACACTAGACAAATATAGATATATACAGTACAGTTCAGAGGTACTTAGCCCAAATTGCACGCGAAAAGCGTGTTTAAAAAAAAACGCGCACACGCGTGCAGCTTTTGAAAACATTCTTCATGTATTTATTCATTCTTCATGTATTTATTTAAAGAAATATAAGGTTTACAAAACTTCATGTCCTGCAAATAGCTACAATGCTAATCTAGGCAGGACAAGACTTTAACTAAAGGCGTTATTAAATTACACAAAAGAAAAAAGAAAAGAAGAAATACAAAAACGTACAGAAAGAAACACCTTACATATAAATTCAAGTACAAGGGATTTTGTTATTTGAAAAAGACTAAAATTACAACTAGAGGAATATACAATATATCAGGTTAACTTCACAAAATATTCTATTAAAAAATTAACACTCAAATAATTATCTTCATTACCTAGAACATTAAGGAGTAGTGATTTAATTTTTTTACGACAATTAGAAACGTTGAGAGTCTTAACAGAAAGTGGAATAGAATTCCAAATAGACACACCGATTCTAGTATAAGATTTTTTCATTTTTTCAGTTCTAGAGAATTTGACAGAGAAGCATTCTTTTGCAGATAATCGCGTATTATAATGATGTTCTGTATTGATTTTCGCAAACTTATCGAGAAGACTTTAGGAGCTGTCTTAGCATGAACGTCATACATTAAATAGCTTAACTGTTGAAAGAACAAAGACTGCAAAGGAAGGCAGTTTGATTCAATAAAAAAAGGGATTGCATGGTCTCTGGGTTTAGAAAAATAAATCAAACGCAGAGCACGTTTTTGCAGAACAAGTATCTTATTGAGGTAGGTCTGTGGACAGTTGCCCCATGCACAGATACCATAATTTAAATAAGGAGAAATAAGTGCATGATATAAATTCAAAAGAAGACGCCGTGGAATATAATGCCTTATTTTAGCAATTATTCCAACCGATCTACTAATTTTATGACAGATAAAGTCAATATGATGCTTCCATGATAGTTCAGAATCAATCAGTATACCCAAATATTTAACAAAGTCCTTCATCTCTAGAGTTACTCTAGTATTTAAAGTTGGATTAAAAATCTTAATTTGAGGAATGAAAGGCATTCTTTTTTGGTGGGGACGAAAAATGACATAATTAGACTTTTTGACGTTGAGCGTCAGTTTGTTAGCATTAAGCCATTCGCTTACTTTCTCAAGTTCATTATTGACAGTTAGTTCAAGAGTACGTAAGTTGTCGTTTGCATAAGTTAGACTTGTATCGTCTGCGAAAAGATAAAAAGTAAATTCTTTGGAAGATTTATGGATGTCATTAATATATAACAAAAATAACAAGGGTCCAAGTACAGAGCCTTGAGGTACTCCACATACGATCGTTTCAGTTTCAGATATGCATTTGTCTATTTCAATAGACTGTCGGCGATCTGAAAGACATGATCTAAACCAAGAATTTATAACTCCTCTTATTCCATAGTGTTCAAGTTTTGTCAAAAGAATCTCATGGTTAACAGTATCAAATGCTTTCTTAAGATCTATAAAAATTCCACATGAGTACTTTCTATTGTCCATATTAGAATGTATGGTGTTCACAATATCAAGAATCGCGTGCTGGGTACTATGTTTATTGCGAAAGCCATATTGTAAATCATAAAGAATATCATTCTTGTCTATAAACTTTATCAGTCTACGATATAAAATTTTCTCAAATAAACGATTATAAATTGATAACAAAGAAATTGGCCGATAGTTTTCAGGTAACGTCTCGTCTTCACCCTTATAAACTGGAATTACTTTTGCATATTTAAGTTTTGCAGGGTAAACCCCAGTTAGTACAGAGTGGTTAAAAATTTTGGTTAATGGTATGGATATGACTGATTTGGCAAGTTTTAACAGTTTAACAGGGGTAGAATAAAGCCCCAGGGCTTTATTGTATGGCAACAAGCTAATTTCTGTTTCAATTTCTTGCGGTATAATTGGATCAAAATAAAAACTGTTCTGCAAAGGCGGATCAAGATAATCAGAAAAAGTAGTGTTAACTTCAGGAATATTGGTTGAAAGTTGATGCCCTATTGACGAGAAGTATTTGTTGAGTGTGTTACCAATCGTTTTAGGATCATCTGATAAAACGCTATGCTCGTTAGAACGAATGAAGTTAATTCTTTTTGATTTTTTCCTTTTCTTCGCATCTCCTAATATTTCGTTAATACCTTTCCATGTCGATCGCGTATTTTTTATGTTAGAGTCAAAAAACCTTTGATAGTGACGTTGTTTACTCAATCGAATAAGGGTTGTTAACTTATTTCTATATATTTTATATTTCGGCCAGTTTGATTCAAAGAACAATTTATTCTTCACCTTTATGGATTTCCTTAGTCCAGCAGTTAGCCAAGGTTTAGTTAGCATCTTTAGTTTTCTCACTGAAGCATCCCTGAGCGGTGCATGTTTATTAACTACATGATTTATAGTTTTATAAAGGTGAGAGAACGACTTGTTTACGTCGCAATTATCAGAAACCTCTTCCCAATTAATTGCACTTAGGTCATTCATGAATTCATTAGCATGAAAGCTGGAATAATCCCTAAATTTAGTCTTTTTTGTATGTGGTAATTTTTGCTTGTTTACGTTGACAATACAGACTTGCGAAAAATGATCGGTTGTGTCGGTGACGATATTGCCACTAGAAATATTATTCGTCAGGTTATTTGTGAAGATATTGTCAATTAAAGTCGCTGAGGACCCATACACTCGCGTTGGTTTATCAATTGTAGGAAGCATAGAAAAACTTTGCATACACTGAAGCAGTATCTGGCTGTATTTACAGTTTTCATATTTTAGCAAGTCTATATTGAAATCTCCCATGAGATATATATTATTATTGTGATTACTGAAATACTCGAGGAAATCCGAAAGATGGTCAAGAAATTGATCTGCATTATTATGTTGTCGGTAAACAATGCCGCAGATATTTTTCTTGTGATTTGGTAGTGAAATTTCAATCCACAAGGCTTGATAAGAGGAATTAGTAGAGCGTTCTAAGACTCGATATTTATAGTTTTCATTAATAAAAAGACCAACACCACCGGCAGACAACGGGGTTTTAACAAATTCAAAGCAATAGCCAGGTAGTTGTGGTATAAAATCAATAGATTCGCCTACGCACAGTCGCGTTTCTGTAACACCTAATACCGTGAAATTATGTTTTACCTCACTGAGTACGTGACACTGAAAATGTTCAATATTTTTTCTTAAGCTTCTTATATTAGTGTGAAGAATAGAGAAATCGGATACGACATCTCTATTTCTGGTATTTTTAAACTTCACGGAGAAGCTATGAGGCGAATAGTACTTCGAACGAATTTTACTCGTTGTCATTAAGTTAGCATCAGGATCAATCGTTTTGTCTACGGAATCGTTCTGAAAAGACCAAGATCATATAAGCTATTAAATGAATAGATCGATTTCCTGGAGGCTAGATTAGTTTCCAGTAAAGCGTTATACTGCGGGTGGGCATTTTTCAGATCTTTACAGTTATAATTTGGCAATTCCATCAACAGAAATTTGTTTTCTTTAGCGAGATTTTTCATCTCTTTGTGCGAAGCCATTTCCAATAACTGTATCACATCATTAAGATTATGAACGAATAACAATTAACACACTTATCTCCTTAATCCTGAGTTGGATTACTGACCAAGCTTTGTTTCAGATTGTCAAGATCGGCCATGCGTTTTAATTTGAAGACCTGAGAACTACTAGATTTACGAGCCAGAATCTCAGAGTTCTTCACCCAGACGTACTGGGATTGATGTGTTGATTTCAATTTGTTTGTCTCGCTAAGAAGTTGCTGTAATCTCGGGATCAGGTGTTCATGAATTCGGATATTTCTCGTGTAAAAATCAGCAGATAAATCCAGATCATCAGGGTTTAAGTTGGAAGTTTCATTACGATGAGCTATGACTTCTTCTTTGGCCAGTCGTCTTATAAACTTGCACACAATAGGTCTTGGGTAATGGCGGTCAGCCCTTCGGCTATTCACTCTATGAGCGATATCAATGTCGTTTTTCGTCACTCCCTCGGCTCCGATAGCATGGAAAAGCTTTAAACATAACTGCGTGGTGGTTTCAGAAGACTCGTGTTCATCCTGTTCAGGAAAGCCAATAATTTTGACGTTAAACTGAAAGCTGTACTTCAGTAAGTCATCAATGGCGGCGTCCAAACTGTCAACTCTCGTAGAAATCGCTTCAAGCTTACGGCTTAGATTGTCAATTTCTTTCGACATTTCCTCTCGAAAGTTTTTCGTTATATGATGGTCCTCACATAAGAAATCAACACTCTTTTGGACACTGTTTCCATATCTTGTTGCAGCGTCTCCAACCTGCTCGATGTCCGCTTGAAGTCGTTGTTGCTCGATGATCGATTTCAGCTTCTGGAGTTCGCTATTTACAGCTGAAATCTCTCCCTTTAGTTTAAGGTTTTCCTTCTGTAGATTTTTAACTTGACTCATATTAGTTTACGACATAAAGCATTGGTACTTATCTACAATCATCGGCAGAAATATTGGACAAGATTTCCTTTATTCTCGTGGCCTTAATGTTTGATTCAGGGGTGATATTGTCACACACTCACACACTCAAAATACATGGGCAAAAGAAGCTCATTAGTATGTATAATGCAGTTTGTTTTTTTTTTACCCTTTGTTTAACTTTGAGTGGTGTATTAGATTTATAACAAAGGAGGGATTTCGATGTTGGTGACATTACGTGGTTTCATCCCGAAGCGTTTGGCGTCAGTTCATTTATGAAATGGCTTTAGACATTGGGAAGAAAAAGGAAAAAGTTTCTGACCTGCAGGGTACCTCTTCAGAAAGCAAACAAGATCAGAAAAGATTAAGTTCAATTAAGTCGTTGTCGCAAAAGTTTATTAGCAACAAAACTTGAAAACTTACCAAATTATGTGAAATTATTTGCAGTTTCCCGGAACAGGGGACATTTCAAATGCTTTAGAAGGTTTATTTAGGTTCAAAAAAAAGAAAATCAGATTCCATATAGTCTTTTGCGGTTCGCGTTAAGTCACCTTAACGTTAAGCTTGCATCATTGTCTACAAGTAGGTAAGATCGCCGCTACTGTTCGAACGATTTGATGCGTTCAATTTACATGAATCTTAAGTGTGACATACTCACGTTCAAGAGAAGACGGCAGATGGCGACAAATGGCGTCCTGGCCTGGGTTGTTCAAAGCTAAGTTTAGATAGCCCAGGGTTAGTCTGAAAGCTTGAGAAGAAAATGCAGTTCAAATCTTTTTGCTTGCAATTTGATCTCTGGATGTTCTAACCAGAATAGTAAAAATTGTCTCTAAATGGTTTTTGAACAAAGGAATAAAGAAACCTGGAGTAAAGTTTACCCCTGAGTTAGTGCTAATCGGCCTTCGAACAACTGGGCCCTGAACGAGACGCGGACGACGAGTGATGCTCGATTGGGCATGCGTGTTAGCATCGAATTTTGTTTTCCCAACTTCCGGTCAGTGACGTTCACGTTCGTCATTGCTAAAAGTCCCCAAAGTAAAAGTGCGACGAAGCGAAACCATGTTTCTATTTTCTGAAATGTTCAACGAGTCATTACCAACAATGTGGAAGATAAGGGCCTTTCCTCACTAGCGGAAAAAACTAGAATTGCCCCGAAAAAGTCAAAGGACAAATTTTGTTATAACAAATTTATGTTTCATCTGTTGCATCCGTATGAACAATTTCAAAGCCTTCAAATTCCGTCAGCGCCTGATCTGTTCATAACACCGGCCAGCATAGTTGTGAAAGGATTCCACCTCCAATTTCCAGGATTTATCCCAAGTCATTTTAGGATTTTAGAATCCCCGAGTTTTGTAGCAAATGATAATTATAGCCTTTCCAGAAAACTGAGTTTAATCCAATTACACGCTTGTCTTAGCTCATACGACAAATGATTGACAAGTTTATCACGGTTGTGTTCCTTCAGTCAATTTGCCAAATTTAAACTGGGGCAAATTTTGTCGGCGGTGCGTCTGAAGATTTATCCGCTTCGGCCAAAATATGTCAAATCGGGACAAGCCATCTGCACTTGTAAAATGTTGGTGATGACAGACAATTTGTTTAAATAAACAACTTTGTCGCTAGTGCAGAAAGGTCCTAACTCCACTCACTGTCTACACGGCGCCGTATTTGATTCTTATCAATCAATAACGACCGTCTGATGAAATTGTCATGACGATTATCATCACGAAACGATAAGCGTGAATAAAAGTACGATCGAAGCAAAACCGCACTTATGAAAGAAGTATTTCCTAAATGTCGCGCGGAACATTTGTATTAAGTGTCAACACGGCAAGCAACTGGTATTTACGTAAACAGGACAGCGTACGTGAGAATTTGTATGGAGTCATGATTTTAAAGTGTAATGTAGAACTGCTTCTTGGAGTTTCAACCTTACTTTTCATAAGCTTCAAATCGCTGACTTTTGAAACCGTGCTCACGACTGTTAGACTAAAATTTCGAGATTAGGACCGCGATGTGCGCCGTTTTCCTCATTCCCCATTCCCCATTCCTCATTCCCCATTCCTCATTCCCCATTCCTCATTCCCCATTCCTCATTCCCCATTCCTCATTCCCCATTCCTCATTCCCCATTCCTCATTCCCCATTCCTCATTCTTCATTCCTCATTCCCCATTCCTCATTCTTCATTCCTCATTCCCCGTTCCTCATTCCCCATTCCTCATTCCCCGTTCCTCATTCCCCGTTCCTCATTCCCCGTTCCTCATTCCCCGTTCCTCATTCCTCATTCCTCATTCCTCATTCCCCGTTCCTCATTCCTCATTCCCCATTCCTCATTCTTCATTCCTCATTCCCCATTCCTCATTCTTCATTCCTCATTCTTCATTCCTCATTCTTCATTCCTCATTCTTCATTCCTCATTCCCCATTCTTCATCCCCCGTTCCCCGTTCCCCGTTCCCCGTTCCCCGTTCCCCGTTCCCCGTTCCCCGTTCCCCGTTCCCCGTTCCCCGTTCCCCGTTCCCCGTTCCCCGTTCCCCGTTCCCCGTTCCCCGTTCCCCGTTCCCCGTTCCCCCTTCCCCGTTCCCCGTTCCCCCCCGTTCCCCGTTCCCCGTTCCCCGTTCCCCGTTCCCCGTTCCCCGTTCCCCGTTCCCCGTTCCCCGTTCCCCGTTCCCCGTTCCCCGTTCCCCGTTCCCCGTTCCCCGTTCCCCGTTCCCCGTTCCCCGTTCCCCGTTCCCCGTTCCCCGTTCCCCGTTCCCCGTTCCCCGTTCCCCGTTCCCCGTTCCCCGTTCCCCGTTCCCCGTTCCCCGTTCCCCGTTCCCCGTTCCCCGTTCCCCGTTCCCCGTTCCCCGTTCCCCGTTCCCCGTTCCCCGTTCTCCATTCCCCATTCTCCATTCTCCATTCTCCATTCTCCATTCCCCATTCCCCATTCCTCGTTCTCCATTCATCGTTCTCCATTCCCCATTCCCCATTCTCTATTCCCCATTCTCTATTCCCCATTCTCTATTCCCCATTCTCTATTCCCCATTCTCTATTCCTCATTCTCCATTCCCCATTCCCCACTCCCCACTCCCCGTTCTTTCATTTCCCGTTCCTTGTTCTAAAGATAGCCTTATAATTAATGCTTCCCAAATAACGAGTGATCTTAGATAAGATCTTAAAGATCTTTAATAATAAGTCACGCGAAGCCGAGTACGCTCAAACCATAAAATGAATCATAGGAAACAATTATATTATTTTAGCAAAAACTGAGGAATATTTTAGCGCCGAATGTAAGTAAACAAGACGCAAGGGTGCTAGTCGACATAGCCCTTCGTCAATCGCTCTGACGGAGGGCTAACGCTCAAAACGTTAGCTTTAAAACTTTTTACGGTGGCAAATTCACGTTATCAACTCAGTTGATAAAACTAAATTACTAGCAACAAAGCAAGCCGACTGCGTTGAATAACAAAAGCAAAAGCGTGCTTAAGACACGCGCTTTGACGCGCGCTTTTTTTTTTCCTGCGCAAAACGCAAAAAGCGTGAAAAGGTTTTGCGTGGGCGTTGGCCATGTACCTCTTAGCTGTACTGTATATATATATCGAAAGCTAACATAAGTTTAATATATTTCCATAGAATTTAAAAAAAGACAACGTGCATTGCACAATCTAGCTGTGACGCTTCACAGGGGTCTAAGGGTTCACAGGTGTCCGGGAGTTCACGGGGTGAAGTGACAGGCTGTAGTTCACATCCTTGTCCAAAAACTTCTGTATCCACTGTTGATGAGCTTGAAATTTGTGCTGCATGTAATTTGTACAAAATAACATGAATATGACCCTTTACTTAAGAGAATTCGATGTAAAACTCCTATTCGTTTATACAAGATCTTTATTGACATAAGTAGACTTGCCAGAATCTACAACCCCTGAAATGCCGCTGAAAGACGGTTCTATTTCGAAAAGCTCGATAATTTTGGCTGTGGTAGCCTTTGAAGAATCTGGTTTCTTTTCACCCCCGGTCATCTTTCTTGCAGTGGTACATTTGCTGTGTTCTTTCTTTGTTCCATGCCACTCACTATTCCTCTCCACTTTTCTTTCACTTCCATGGCAGATCTTTCGGAAACTCCGAGCGCATTGACTTTGTCAGTTATTACCTCCCATACTCGACTTTTAAGTTTGTTAGAAAGTGTCGTGGGAATTTTACTCTTGATTATTTTGATATTTTCTTCCACCTCTTCGAAAACAACTGTTCATTCGGCAGGTGTAAACTTTGGTTTTCTGGTGCGCTTTGCAGGGGAAGAAGCAATATTTTGTGCCGTGTTGTCTCGCAACTAGCACGAGCAAGCGAAAAGATCACGTAACGCCTGGGTTATCACCATGGCAACTGCCTGGACAGTGAGTTAGCCGTCGGATAATTATACGGCTCGCTATCCGTGCTTTTCGCAACAGCTTTTTATCCGCTGGATAGTAATCTTATACACCGGATAAACTTATCCAGTGGATAACTTTATCCATCCTTTGAACAACCGGATGTTTGATGTTTGCTCTGATGTTAGTTTGTAGAGGTAGAACAGTTACATTAAGATCGGCACACGTGAAAGGTCCCTTCAAATGAACTACCATCCAAATTTTTCATCTGATGGTCTAGTCGCAGGGCTCAAAATATAATCCTTGCGACTTGTTCCGTGAATTCGAAATGGTTTGAATTCGTGAGAGAAGTCGCAAGAACTTGTCTCCCCAAATTATCCTGGTCCCTGCGTGTGAAAGGTTCGTGGGACAACTCCTAGCTATCCAATCACTTCACAAGAGAAATATAATAGTTTGTCTCCCAATGTGGTCACTTCGGATGTGGATTGCGACGTTTGGACTGCATACTGCCAGCTTCACCAGGCGAGGAAGACTGACAGTATATAGGCAGTCGAAATGTCGCGATACACATCCGAGGTGACCACATCGTGAGAGAAACGATTTTATAATGTAAACTACGGTGTTAAACAAGGATTTCCAGCCCGGAGAAAAGCCGTAACAACTCATGTGAAAAAATAGGAAATCACAGCGGGGCGTCTACTTGATATCAGTTGACCGCCAAAAATACAGGTTCCACACATTAGCGGTATTTTAGAAAACGATACAAAACGCCACTTTATGCCTTAAGTGACTACTAACTGTACAGAATCTCGGTCAAAAATGCTACTTTTTTTGGAGGAGAAATATGGATTAAAAATTACTTGAAAGATTATTCTTAGTTTTATACAGGTTCGACTGTTTTTCAAGTTTTGCAAAAAAAACAATTTGGATCTAAGACAGTTACTTTTCAGAAATTTCTCAGCTTGTAGTATAATGTTTGTAATGGGTGGATCGCGATATAAAACAAGTCGGAATTTTGAGACATCAATATCGCATTACATTGGCGGCTAGCTAGTTGGGAGAAAATAAATTGTCCCATTGAGCTTCGTCGCTCTACAACTCTTCCCAATACTACAATATATTTCACCTCGACCAATACAATTTAATAATGGCGTCTCAAAATCGCGATTTTTATTAGATTGCATCCTTCTTTTCGCGATGAACTAATATTTTCTATCATAGGAGTAAATATTTTTATTATCCGCAGGTTTAAACGTTTATGACGGGGTGACTCTAAACAGAACCAAAATGATCTTTACAGCGACACGTAAAGTTCGCATTTTTTCGATTTTTATCCTTGGTTTGACCACCTTTGTCATGTACGCCTCATACCAAGTGAAGTTCGGACAGGAAATTAGCCAGCCCACTCACAGCAACAGCACAACGGGTAAGTCAACGAGTTGGAAATGATTCACAGCATTAGATGCTTATCGGATCAATTATACCGTCATAATCTCAATTAAGACGCAGGTTAATATTAGGGAAAATAAAAGTAACTTAAGTTATTTCGAACTAGGGAAATAACAACGCTTCCAAAAGCTTAAGAGGCCTATTTACTTCGTGTTGTCCCGTTCACCAGAAATTACCCCTTTGTAATGTAATGCTATCGCAGATTCAAGATTACAAACTGAAGATCGTTTTGAATTAGTTTTCAAAATTAACTAGCGTACAATGATCACCCTGGATGATGATGGGTAATTATCGTAGAGAACACGCCCTTGATCAGTTTATCTTGGCTTTTCCGGTGTATCGGGTTTCAGATCGCTCTGACTCTCTGTCAGTTTCGAGCTAGTCAACGCTTTCCCGCCCACACTACTGGTTTACTTTATTGACCTCTAGCGGCGTTTTCGAAGGGTCAGTGCCTCCTTTCAGTTGGAGAAGCATAACCAATTCAACAGCATAAGCAAATTAAAGCGCAACTACCGGTATTATAAGTTTTCAACCGTATGCATGACAACAAGATTTCATCATCATCCAGATTTCTCTGGCCATTTGGAAGGTCTGTAAAGACGAACCCAAATTAGATCTTTATGAGTCCTTTTTGAGTTCTGACCTCAATGTTAATTGATTCTAAACCAACGAACTGTTTTGGCATTTTTAACGCGCTTTGTTTAAAGGTCGGACCTTGCACGAATTATGAGGCCAATTTGTTCTATCTTGTCGATTTGCCTTTAATTCTTCAGCATAAAACTGGCTATCTGGATAGCTGTCATCGACTTTGGTCTCTTAGAGAAGTAGAATATCTAACAAATTGTTTAGCAGCATGTTCTTAACCTCGAAGAGCTTGATTCCGCCGATGCTGTTTGTTTCCTTGTGGAAAGAAAACCAACTCGAAAATGCTGCCTAGGAAAAGATATCATCTCTAAAACTTCGCTCATCGTAATTGGTCTCATTTCATGCGTCTCGAAATTGGTTTTTTTTTTTGGTTTTTTTTTTTTACTTTTTTCTTCTTTTCTAAGCAAGGTAATCATTCTTGAAGTTCTTTTCACTGCAGAGATCACCAATCACTACAACAACGTAAAAAGCGTAACAATTTACTATTTCCAAAGTTCTACACTGAATCAATTTCCCTAGTTTTAAATTAAATAGTTCTGGTTAGGTCAGACTTAATTGCGAATACTTCAAAATAAACTTCAACATTTTGTTTATCTTAGATGAGATCGTCTTTCGAAAGGTTGTTCCAACTCAAGATACAGTCACAGAAGAACCCACAAATAATTCACTGCCAAAGCCTTTCGTTTATCTCACTCAAACAGAACAATGCTTTCCTTCAAACTTTGCCTCTTCTTCCGAGATCGGCGACCCCGAGACATGTAACTGTGATGTCATAGTGCTAAGCTTTCGTACCAAATGTCAAGTGCAAAAGTCGCCTCACATCACTTATCTGTTCTATCCCAATATTGGATGGGGAACGGGACGAAATGTGCTGTATTTTGCTGCCATAATGAGATCTCCAAAATACCATTATTACATTTTTATGGATGATGATGTGGTGCTGAATTTCAATTCATTTGCTCCTCCGCAAATGAAGAGGCTTCCGCCGTTTAGAGTCTTCGAACAATGGCTCCTAGATTACGAGCCTGTAGTTGGCGTTTTGGATTACAAAGGGCATCATGGAGCCATCTGGACCAATGAGACACGAAAGAAAATATGTAAAAAGGCGGACAGTTCCCTTATGATACCAATAATCTGGTATGATGCTATTTTAAATGCATTTCATTACAAATCTATGGAGCATCTCTTCCCTTACCGTACGGAGCATGAAAGAATAACCTGGTGGTCATCGCAAATCTACATGTTTTCTGCTGTGGAACTGATATTTCGAGGTCAGGCATTGATTTTTGTGCCTGTTACTGCGGGAAATTCAAAACATCGCTCATACCCAAGGTCTTTAAAGGACGAAAACAAAAGGTGGAGAGGTTACATCGATACGATTCGACAGGAAGCTCCTTTAATTTACAGAAATCAGATTTTATTCGATGATTTTAGACAGAGACTGGAGGGTTACATCAACAACTCGACAACATATTGCAAGAATGTAACACGGCATCAACACATTAAACCATACGCTCATTTTGATTTTCAGACAGAGGTGTAGTTGATGAGGTTAGCAAAGAGATCGGCCCAATCAGGAGATAAAATGCTAAACATATTCATATTATAAGCTGATTTTTTTGTTTATAAACTTGCTGAACTGTAAGAAAGTATCAATAAAGTGATGCCCGTGATGAGAAGTTCGACTGAACTGCTATCACATTGGGAATCAAATCACTTTTCACTTGTTGGTCGCCTTGACCGTGCTCTGTTGAGTTGTGAAGCATTAAGCAAGCGTCTAGAACACTCAAAAAGTGGGGAGAAACACTCGACTACGTCTCTCTACACCTCTTTCGTGCTCTAACCGCTCCCTGAGTGCTTTACAACAAAACAGAGCACTGTCAAGGATTATCTATTTGTTAATTACCATTTTTTTGATGAGCACCCTGTCTGTTCATATTGTATTATGAGACCTTTCGCTTTTCAGAGCTTGTAAAAACTTCCAAATTTTTTTGTATTCCTTTAAAGGTTTGAGGAAAAAAGAAGTTTTTCTATTAGGGTATTTTAAAAACAGAGCGTTTCTCAATCAAAATCTGGATATTGTAACTAGGGTAATCTCTCTGTCATTGTATTTTCTTCAATAATAACTCAAAGTAAGGTTTGTTTTTATAGCACTCACCAGTCAAACCTTTTATTTTGTTTTAGCCTTTCATTTGCATTTCTATTAACTAAACTTTTCTTTTCTTAGGAAAGTTTTGTACAAGATTTTCTTAAGGAAAATGTTTAAGCACTTTACCACATTAAACAGAGTACCTGAAATACTCTTATTTCGTGCTGTTATCACTTTTAATTGAAATCAATCTCTATTTTACTTTGCTTGAAACCGTTAATAAAAGAGTTACAGATACAGCCACCATTCAAATTTTCACTTACAAACCATTTTCGGAGTTAACTGAACATAGGAGAGTGTTTGTTTTAGTTTTATAACCAACTGCTTTTGTCGTTCATGACATTTTTACTCGGGCTACGCAGGGGGGCCTAGTCTAGGTTTCGGTCTCCTATCTATCTAAATATTTATCGACGATGTCGAGGGTATGTAAGCTTGCGTTGCTTGACGGTCTGCGGTATTCCTCTACAAGCATGAAAGCGAGGCAACCGTGAAAACGAGGCGGCTGACGAGAAAACATGATTTAGTTTGCTCTTCCTAGGTCTCTTTGTTCTCTGCTTCTCGGAGTGCGAAGCTTAATTAAAAATCATGAAGAATTGCTTTCCTTTTGGAATGCTCAAAGTACTTACAAACGCACACACCATTCGTGGTAGACCCGCAATCAATGAGGTGCAATATATCATCAAACCTTTACATTACCTACAAGGTTTTAAGCTCCGTTAATGTTTTTGCTGTTACGATACGAGTAATTAATGATTGAACTTGTGATGAACATGTTATTTGAATAAATTAAAGTTCGCATGGCAACCAGGTGGACAATCAGATGTGGTTTATGCTACTCTGGTTTAAAGATTAAATGAAAGTAAACGAGAAGTTACAAATCATAGACCCAATCATTCGACACTCCTGTCTAGTGCCTTCAGCAGGGGTGATCTAAACGCTGCAAAAAGAGGTCTTTTTACACGCTCACTACTTAGCTACCTTTCTTCTGACGAGGTGTAAATAGGTGTCAAGAAGTAAGCCGCCATCATCACGATTTAAAGGAGCGTGGGCGGAGTTAATATGGCAGGCTTTCAAACGAATGCGCTGGTGGTAAAACCGATTAGTGGTGATAATTTTTAGGCTTATCACACCCAATTGCCTGGTTAATTAGGCATGTGTGCTTCGATAACGCTGAATTTTCTTTTGCAAAAGAAGACCGCTTTTTGATACTCTTTCAAACGTGTACCAAACTGACTGGGTCTATCAATTGTAACTTCTCGGTTACTGCGACAACACTTAAACAACGACAATTCGTCTGTATAAAGACACATCCTAACGAGCCAAATGACAATTAACAATCAAAGCATTGATGGGAATGTGATCTTACAAGTAAACGACTCCGTTAACTTACGATTATTCGAAGCGCTTTATATCCGAAGGTGAAAGCCAGCAATGTAAAAAAATTCCTTAGAAGAATGTATTGAACTAGGAGACCTTTTACTCTAAATTAGACTGCTTAGACTTTTGTTCTCGCTAAAACTCATTAGCAATTTTCTATGTTATAGTGTGTTACCATCGCTGCTGAGACATGCATGTTACTCTTAAACTCAATGATCAGTAACAACTGTCTTTAATGACCAGAGAAGGGAACAAGTAACGTGACAAGTAATGCAAGATTCATATAACCTGACATTTCCCTTCTTTTGGAGTGAGCTTATTTCGAAAAAAAAAAAAACATAAACATAACCGGTAGTTAGAGTCTCTAAATGAATACTTAAAGTTCTCTATAGCTGAAGCCAATTTTCACACGGCCAACTACACACCAAAGTGTTACGGGAAAATTTACTGATTTTTCCCGTGTGTGTTATTCGGAACATATTTATTCGTAAACTTTCACATTTAACCATTTCAAGTCCTTTCATTTTAATAAATCAAAAATATGCATAAAAAACCACAGTAGCTTTTGAATAGATTTTTGTTGTTACTCGCTTTCATCATATGCACCTGGTTGTCGGCACTTTTGTTTTTTATTTCATGGTTTTTTTTAGGTAAATATAAGTGTTAATGGTCTTTCTGGAAACATTGGTTTTCATGGTAGATAGCAGCTGAGTTTAAACGCGTAAATTTAATTTCTTTTCATGCGATAGTTTCCAAACCAGTCTTGCGTAAATAAGCAGAAACTTTTAATTGCTTTTCCGTTTTTTTATTTCCTGAGCTGCGCTACTGCAATTAAGATAGGTATTGTTTTCTATATCAGAGCTGTAAAATCGCACCTAGGTTTTCTACTTTAATGGCCTAGAGTTTATTGCATCCGTCTTTTTAATTTTGAGATTCTTTCCGTCGTAGAAACAGATGGAATATTTAAGTAGTTTTCGTTTAACTTCAAAGAGACTTTTTTTTCGCTCCTTTGTGTCCTTACTCAAATATTGCGATTTGTGTAACAATAGCACTTCGCACCAGTTACTTCTTAAGCAAGTACCTTGTACAGCTTTGATGATTACAAACTAGAATATGCTAGAGGTCATGTCGCTTGTTGGCCTGACCTAGAATAAAAGTACTGTGGAACCAAAGATTGTCTTATCCTTGACGTCCGTATAAGCTCGCTCGAAGTAGATCTCCGTGTACCAGGAAATCGTGACGAGTTTCCGTTCTCGCTGCCAAGTCGTCTCTACAGAGTTATTTCCCCCAGTTGTTGTTGTTCCGTCCGCGAAGAGTCAGTTTTCCAGTCTTGGGGCGGAAAAAATTATCGTCACAAAAGTCACCGAACCTCGAGGGTGGCTCTGCAAACTCTTGTTCAAGTTTTCTTAACTGGAACAGATTGTGGTGTGTCGACATTTGCTTCGGTTCATGATTAGCCTTCTTCAAATCCTGCTTTGAAGGCTGGCTTTCATTCTTTATAGAGACTGGCTGTCACTTCCTTCAACTGGCTCGGGTTGTTCAGCTGGTTGTCGAGCTTGCTTCAGAAATTCCCGATTTCTATGGAGCATTATAATGTCTGAACTGGATTTTACTAAATAGAACATCATAATACAGGCACCCATCTACTAAGTTTGATTCCTCTGAAGAGGTGCGACTCTGACCTCTTGCCCAACCTAAATTTCTGATAGGGTACGGAAGGAGCGATCGTGGTACTAGTTGGCCTTCTGCCTTTCAATTTCAGCTTTGAAGTCGCATTTTCTCGGATCTTGGGGTACAGTTGGTCAGAAGCTGTGGGAAGTACGATTCTGATGCGTCTAAACATCAAACTCTGTGTAGGGTTACTTTCCAGAGACTCTATTGGAGTGTTTCGTTGGTCCAACAGGGCTGATCACGGGTCTTTGTTGTCTTTGAGAGCCTTTTTGAACAAAGAATGAACCATTTTCACAGTAGAATACCCCTTTACATTGAGTCTAGTGATGTGGGAAGGAAGATAGGTTAGTGAACTCCCGATCGAACAAAATCTGATGAAATTCATCGCTTGTAAACTGAGGAGCGTTGTCCGTTTCCAGTTTGTCTGAGATGTCACGTTTACTGAATTGTTCCTTAAATATTTCAATTACGAAACTGGAGCTGTTTTTCTCCAATTTCTTTAGTTCCACGAAATCTGAGTAAAAGGCGACACGCATGCAGTCTAAAATGGTCAGAAGCTACTCGACTCTACGGGCGGTCGGGAAATTTGTGACTCTGCATTGGTACCTTCTGATTCTAAGCTTGAAATTCGTTGCAAACTTAACGATGCTTGATCTAGTCACGCACTTCTGCATTCATGCCAGGCCAGAATACAGTGTCTCTTGCTTTATGCAGATAAGCCTCTTCTCCCAAATGGCTGGAATGGAATTTGCAATTTACTTTAGGTCTCAGTAACTTAGGGATAAGTACTATCGAGCCTTTGAACAGAACACCATTATGTACTATTAGCTCGTCACGGCAAGAACTGAATACTCTCGGATCTTGATTGGCACTTGATCTTTGTTGATCCAGTCGTTCTGGTGTGACCTTCTGGGCTTGCATACGGTCTAGGCTCAGAAGCTCCAGGGAAAATACTGCCCATTATTCTTCTGGCCCAGGGGTTTCATCCCGTGTGGCTAAGAGTATTTGAGAGCCAGGTTTGTACTGAACTGACAGATTCGTTACAGCTTAAAAAGCATTCTTTGGAGAAGGCAAAGAGCTGATAGTAGAGACTTCTTAAATATCAATTCAAGAGGCTTGTGGTCAGTTTACCAGAATTTGGTTGAATCTGTCGGATAAGTAAAGACTCTTCCCGGACATGTTAATTAGAAAGGACCTATGGATTTCTTCTTTCCCGATATCTTCTCAAAATTCGACGATTTTCCTCCATCTCTCCTCTTACGAAGACTTCCATAGTCGACTTTCGTTTCGCTGAATTTCTTTTCCGTCTTCTGCCTGCATGTCTCTAGCGCCTGCGATCGTCTACATTTGTTGCGAGGCGATTCAGTTATCTGTAGAGCTTTCTTCATCTGGGATAGTTCTCTTAAAAGCCTGACTTTGTCATCTTGATTCTTTAAGCCGGTGACGAGCCTGACTCCGATCAGTTCATCTGTTTGTGCACCGTATTCGCTGCACGCGGCTAATTTTCTCAGAAGTGTGACATTACTTTGCACAGATTATTCGTTTTACCGTACACACGTATTAAAATATACCGTTCGTGCATTCAATTGTGCTGGGCTTGAATTAGTTTTCCAACGCTCCAAAACAGCTGTCGATTTTCTTGTAATTTTCCTCCGAAAGGTTTAGGTTGAACAGGATCTGAAGACATTCCCTGTTCATCGATGAACGCAAAGTCACTCAAGGAACCGATTATTGTCGCTTATCAAGTCCTGTTGCTATCCCATAGCCGCTCCATTGCTGCTCGAAAAGTTCCAGGTGCTAAAAACGTCACCATGACACTTAATAAGAATTGGTAGCAGAAAATTATGTGTAATAGCTCGATGATAATTGGGGCAGTAGGTTTGCCTGAGCAAGGTGCTAGCGATGATGGCGTGACGATTTGCTCACCCGACTCCACGTGCTCATTGTCGGCCGGCATTTTCTCACACTTGAGCTCAAGATTCATTCTGAAATGACGAAGAAGAGAAGAAAACAACATAAGGAAGGCACCTTCGGTGTTTAGTGTTCGGAAGAGGGTGCACAATCCTCAAATAATATACTTTTTCTCCTGACGCCAGTTTAATACAAATATATGTAACCCTTTGAGTGTATATGACACAAATTTTTTTCCCCGTTTTTAGCAGCTCAACATGTATGATAAGCAGTGTGACAGTTAAAAATAATGATCTTTTTTCTATGAACGCTTTTTTTTTCACTCAAAACCCACTCGATTTTTATATAAAACTGTCTCCGGAGACTGGGAAGAGAAACAAGGTTATGACGTCACATTGTTTGGCCGCTTGATCAGCAAACAGTGTTTTACTAGTAAGCTATGCATACTTGCCAAAATCCACTCCTTTCCAATACGTCTGTTTCCACCATGTCCGCTGATTCCAAGTTCAGTGATGAATTGTTTGACCCTTCTGAAAGTCTCAATTGGGGGCAGAGTGACAGTTCTGATAGTGAAGTTAGAGTTATCAAAGGTGTAATCATAACTATTACAGTTTCCTCAAATGTGATTGGTGCATTAGCTGCTTTATTTTCCACTCATCAGTCTGTAGAGTTGTAATTGGACGGTAATCAGACAATCGGCTGTAATCAGACATCTGTAATTAGACAGTTGAAGCAGCCACTCATACTTAGTCCTTTCAGTCAAATCCACCAATCACAGAATTGATCAAAATAACCATAGCAACAACTACTTATCCTAAAAAATTGTAGAATTTCCAAATTTGAGGAATTTTTTACTTAGACATTGTCTCTGCTGTACATATTTGTCATAAATGTATTTGTTGTTTTTGGAAATTGTAACAGCTGTGATTAATTGGCAATAAGACTTTGTGTTGTCTGATTCTGTCCATAATCATACTGGTTATTGACAAATCAGACTCCTGCTTCACAGTTATCCATTCTTGTTCATCACTTGTATGAGGACTCCACTCAGTCCTATTACATTATCTATCATCCCAAATCAAGATGAGCCACTTGCTGATTGTGGCAAAGAAGAAAGCTCGAACACAAGTGAAGAAGAAACAGATATTGATGCACTTAACACCATCAACTTTAGAGTCTAGATTTGAAGGAAAAGTGAGTGTGGATTAATGGTAAGTTGAGAGATTTACTGTGATTCCTTTTAAACATAAGCAGAGCCCTTATGCACTCATGCATCGCTAAGTCTGTCCAATAATTTTTCCGTTACCTCTTCCAGGTGTCAAATTGAGAGTGCAGTACTGAAATGTTAGTTGGTGCCCTCAGAGTTTTGACGTTGCAGAGAAGTCACTAGTTCATCTGCAAAGATGAGTGTTGACGGTTCAATCCAACAAATCAATTGCATTACCCAACATGAAGACTTCAATGCCATTACAAACTGTGCCATTCTTCTGCATGTTGCTCCTCACCTCAGAAGCCAAGATGGAGGAACTTATTGTTGTTTATTTTATATATATATATGTAGGTATATGTCATTTCTGTTTTTTTTGCTTAAGCTATTAATTGCAATAGTTGGGGTTTATTTTAATTTTTAATTCTCCATTCATAAGAAATGAGTCTCTTATCATTCAGTGAGTAGAGGTCCAGTATTTACATGAACTGTAGATAGATGTCTTCATTTTTCACTTTCATGTTTACCTATAGGTTCATCAGAGCCGTTGCATATACATGGGCAACCAGGTGGCTTTGTGGGCATAGACTGGGAAAACAGCCTACCTTTATCAGCTTGTGTTTATCACAGTATGAGGAAAAATACAACACACAACATCACAGGGGATATACTAATGTCTGGGATGGAGAGGAGCATTGAAAGCTTGTAAATGCACTTCATGAGTCCATGAAGAAAAATTTGTGCTAAAAGAATGATCCCAGTTCAGTTTCATTTGCATGGGCTATGTCATTTTCAACACACTGAAAAATAGCAATAGAGACCATGAGACAGCTGATATGGAGAAAAAACTCTGAGTCACTTTATTTACCACTTTTCTCCTTGTGACTACGATATGGCCTTTTGCTTTTGCAGGTGCATCTAGAAGTGGATTGACTACTGTTTAGATGACTCTGCAAGCTTGTTATGAAGTTTGTTCTGGTTCTATCGGATAACAATAGTTATATAGTATGTGAGTGCATCATTACAGTTACAGTGTGGGTGTGTTATTTTGTATGTCCTTTGACAAATAGTGTTTAACCCAGACTGAATACAAATGTATATCATTCTCACCTGTCTTGAGTTGGGAATACAAAATTCACATTTAACAACAAAGCCCATCTACAGGCATTCCCAACTTAGAGTAGCATATCTACGGGAAGATAAACAAGCTGCCCCCCACAGACATGCGGCGAAAATGAAATAATTCACACTTACTAAAACTTCATTGTAATATTATATTCATTTCATGTTAAATTTGGATGGTTGATATGAATGGATTAATAAAACAATAAACTAACAAGGTAGAAATAGTGCTGTTTTCTTCATTGCCTTTTTTGTCTTGTATGCCTATATGGCCTCCTCCTTACTCAGTCTGCTGACTAAAGTTATTTCCTCCCTCTTTTCCTTTAAAAAAAGAAAAAACAGATTCTAGAAACCATCAACAAAACCTGAAAAAATGTATACATAATATACATACATGCTGTTTTTTTTATAAATAAGAATTAATTCAATGAAGTCATATTTACTCTTACCATAGTTAGGTGGGCATGCCACCTATCGAACAACTTCCTCTCCCATTTAAGATTTTGGGTAAGTGACCCAAAAGTGTTCTTTTCCATCAAATGCCCTTCGTGTTTCCTGCTGTGGGTTCTCGTTGAAATGCAAACTTGCAGGTATGTGCCTTTTAAAACAATAATGCGCAAATTCATGTCCATTTTATAGATTCATACAAAAAAAATGTCTGTAAATCATTTAGAGGAAAGAAACACCAAAACGTAGATATACTACTCTGATCAATAAAGGGGGTAAGTTTCTAAAGAAACTGTGGTGCTGCGTCGGTGGGAGAGTATAGCAGGTAATTTAGAGTTAACAACTGAGTTGAAAACGTAAATTGGCCACCGTAAAGGGTAAAAAAGCTGACGTTTCGAGCGTTAGCCCTTCGTCAGAGCGAAGGACGAAGGGCTAAAGCTGGAAACGTCAGCTTTTTTACCCTTACCGTGGCCAATTTACGTTTTCAACTCAGTTGTTAACACTAAATTACCTGCTCTACTCTGATCAAGTCAGAGTCATGAACATAAAATTATTACAGCTATAGCCATAAAATAATAAATCCTGGTCGATTATGTTTGACCTTTCGAAATATGACTGGAAATCAATGCTTACCTGACACTTCTTGCGATCAGTTAAATTACAAAGCCCTCTCCACGCCAGTGCAGAGTGTAACCATCGAAAGACGGTACAAACCAGCCCTAGCGTGGGGACGGCGGGTGAAATCTGAGCTCGGTTAGTAATTAATTTGAAATATAATACGGTTAATCGAATGCTCATGATCGACCTCTTTGGTCTACATCATTCCGAATATCGGAAATCGAGCAGGCTTTTGAGCTTCGCTCTTACACGTTAATCGACTTTTAACGTGCCCGAAGCTGGGAGTTGAGCGACATTTGGAAGCGGAAGAAATTCGGCGAAGTTCTGAAGACTTTCGGCCCAGACGATCCTAGAAGTTGCACGCCTTGTGTTTTTCCTTTGCCTTTGGAGTGGCATCAATGCAAAGAGGAATTAACCGTCCCAAAACCCCGCAAAATCACTCGAGACAACAAAGAAAAACAAAGCTAAGTGAACTTCATTTATCTGACTGCCATTTAGCGGATTTTGGGGATGAAATGTTACGATTTGCAGAATTTATGAAACATTTCTCGGGATCACTTGCGTCTTGCCGAGGTCGACCGTTGCAAATTACAAACAACGTACGGGTGCGTTCCTCTGGGAGAATCCGGATCAGGATTTCTGATCTGTGGCGTTCCTTTGGAGCAAATCCGTTTTGAGATCAGTGATCTATCAAATCCACTCTGGACAAGGATTTACCGGGTCACTGATCTGCGTGATCTGAAGACGGATTATTGGAACACTGATCCAACGCGTTCCTTTGGGTTATGGATTCGAAAATAATCATTTTGCCAAGCGATGTTCAATTTCAAACATGTAGGTACTTCATATATGCGAAGTACTTTCGTGACGTTTCCCGCGTTCGTGATTTTCGTCGACGCAGTAGCTCATCGTGGTAAGTGGTCACGATTTCCTTTTCTCTCTTTTTATTGCCTGAAATTCTTCAAAAAATTTACGAAATAGTACTTAAGTACACATATTTGAAAGGTTAGTGCAAAAATTTTCGGATTTACCTTGAAATTACCATATTTACTTCCCTAAACATTCGTGAATGATGGAACTTTTGAAAACGAACTTCAGAATAATATTTGGGGGTTATTTATTTGTTGGTTATTTTGCTCTTTACTGTATATTTACGTTGTCTTTGCCAATTTTCGTAGGAGTCTGTTTTCTATAAATATTATATATCGATATCAGTAACCAAAATGTTTTAATTTCCTGGAGAATTTGGGCAGGACTCTGCTGTAAATACAACATGTTTTTTGTGTTCCTTTTGGGCATTTTTCGTATATAATAATTTATTGCTAGCAGATATATATGTCCTGACTTTAATACTAGTGTAGGTTTGTTCTTGCCTGGTGAAAGCTTATGATGGTAGAAATGCGACAAGGTACCATAAGGTTCATATTGTTATTGCCACTTGTTGTTTATTGGTGATTGTTCCCTATTCTTTGGTTTACTGATAATGTGTGTAATTATTTTATTTTCTTGAGCCCTTCAAGGGCAAGTAGAAATGCAAGTAATGAGCAAAATGTCTGGAAGTTCTATCTGTTAGACCATATGTAGAGGTAGTTATCTTTAAATTCAAACTCGTTTCAATATACCGTAGGTGTTATACAACAGTGTACTGTATTATACATTGATATTTTGCCTGTTCTCTCATACCTAGAAGATACAGGTGTAAAATGGAGCTATGGATTAATAACATCTCTCTACATGGACAAAGTGGTACCCTTGTTTACAGGCAGCTGAGGGTCTACTTAAGGACATGCAAGTACCTCTAATTACAGTTCTTTTGGTCTACCCTTCCAACACCAAAGTGGTGAGGTAGGTTATCACAGTGCTTCATCCTACCAGAGCCAATCAGATCATTCCAGGTCTAGCTCTCCATCTGAGCCTTCAACAAGTAGCAATGGTAATGACAGAACTCAATCTGGAAAAGAAAAGAAAATGTGGCTGAAAGAGGAAGTGATCTTGATTGAAACATATCTTAAAGAAAAAAGATGATCCAAGAATCCAAGAGTAAGGAACAAGGACATTTGGTCTGTTATTTGCCTTGAAATGTGGGAACAGGGAGATATCTCTTGTGGTGCAAAGTCTTGGGAGACCAAGTTCAAGAATCTCAAAAGATCATATATTGCGTACATTGATCACAACAAGAAAACAGGAAGAAATGCAGAGAAATGTGCTTACTATGAAGAACTTCACAACATTTTTCATGATGATGACAATATAACACCACCAGCTGTGTACAGCAGTAAGAAGGGTCTGGTTAAACATCCTTAAGCTCAACACCAAGAGGGCTCAACTGAAAATGAAGGTCAATTAGATGATTCAGAGGATATAGAAAGTGCGGAATGTGATGAACAGGAAATACAAAAGAAAAAAACCTAGAAAGAAACCTCCAAGTGAAAGAAGTGAATTGGTCTCTCTGTTTAAAGAGTTTATTGAAAGCATGTTTGTACATGGCATTTTTTCATGTATGTGTACATGTAGAACCAAAACATGTATGGTTATATTGGGTTGTCAAGATGTTACTTGTGTTCTAAAGTACTAATAAAACAAGTAAAGTTATTGTGTACCCATTGCAGTCATAGAAATAGTGATACTCGTTAGTTTCACATGAAGTGCATGTCTACTGAAACGTTTGGAGTGAAAAAGTACTGGTGTCACAAAACATTAGGATTATTATAATAATAAGAGAGTAATTAGTAATGATAATAAAACACTTAAAGGTTAAAGAGTTTGCTCTTCTGTCTGTTGGATGTTTCAGTAAATATATGCATGCTTGGACCATTTTTGGGTCAAAAAGCTTAAAATATGGGTTTTGGAAGGCTTACACATATTTAAAGTGGAGGAAGACCTTTCCAGAAAGGTATGACTGCTTTAAGATGATTACTAGGACAAAATGTTAGTTGAAATAAATGCATGTGACAAGAAGCTGTTAAAAAATGGTAATATACTGAAATTCATACAGCAGAATTCCCATTTCGAACTGGGAAGCTTAACCCCAGTCCCTCTTCACCTAAGTTTGGTTATGGGGAAAAATACTGCATGGTGATAAGTAATTTGAAAATTCTTTAATGATATTGCTAACAAAGAACTTTTTACAATATTCATTTTCCTTTGAAACAAGTTTGAGTGTTACATGTATTTTGTTGTTTTAAGATATTTTCTCCTTAAGAAACCAAATTGAAAACTTCTGGAGGTAAACCTTGTTATCTGCAAGCAAACTCAAGATTTTGTTAGCTCATCACTTTGTTTGGCATACACTTCATAGAAATACAAGTGAAGACTACAAACTACAAACATCAACTCTGGACAAAGAACCATTGAGTTCCTGGTATATTTTATTTTAGTGCCTGCAATTCTTAGGTGGGTAGGGGAGAAAGACATTCATCAGTACACCTATTGTCCATCCCTTTCCTGAAAACTTAATTTGCCACTGAATTTTTCAAATGCTGTTAACAGTTCTTGAAATAGACACTTTCCTTTCCCTCCTACTTCTTTTAACTGTTTTTTTTTCCAGACACTGTAGGCTTTTTGTGTTTTTTTTTCTTTTTTTTTTCATCACAGAACCAGTTGATGGGTGTGCAACAAATGCTCTCCTCCAGACTTTATTCTGGTCAGCCTACTCTAACTCTGGATAGCATTACTTGGGTTAGCCTGCTTGCAGTTAGCTCTCAATAATGGTAATGGTAACACATTTACTATTTAAAGCCAGTCTCCAGTCTGTAGTTTTCATACACTGCCATTTAAGGGTAAGTTGTAATGTCAAGAGCATTTAGCACCACACAAGTGCATGTGTAATCAAGGTAAATTTCTTATGACTTGATTCCTCTTATCTTCAGCATCTCCATTGTTGTAATTGTCATTATCATGATCATCATCATTACTGTTATTATCCATTAGGTCTTCAATGTCATCCTCATCATCCATTAAGCAAATGTTATGCAATACACAGGCAGCCACAATCATCACTGGGGCATCCTCAATTTTGTCAACTGCCATTTGTGTCTTAAGCCTCCTAAACCTACCTTTTAAGAGACCAAGGGCTTTCCATTACCATTTTAGTTGAGCTGTGAACAAAGTTATATCTTTTCTGTCTTCTAGTGAGTCGGTCATTGCCTCGATATGAGGTAAGTACCAAGGTCTTTAAAGGGTAAGCAGAGTTACCGATCAGGTGGGTATTTCTTGAAAACAACATGTCTGGGTTTGCTTCAGCTCCCTGGAAAAAGGGCGAATTTCTAAAAACCCTTGTATCATGGACAGAACCAGGATAACCACAAAATACATAAGTGAACTGCATGTCCATATCGCAGATTACTTTTAACTACAGCGAGTGAAACTCTTTACAATTGACGTACTGTTCATGGTTTTCAATGGTGCTTTGACTGGAATGTGGCATCCATCGATGGCACTCAAAACACCAGGAAATGCCGGTTTTTCTTCAAATCCTTGTTCTACATCAATTGCTCGTTGCCCTGAAGGAAACTTGATTAACCCACCAGAAAGATTATCGGCAATCGCTGCACAAATTCTGCGATAAACGCGAAATACACTCGACTTTGTTATGCCAAATCGATCGGCCACTGATCGCAAGCATTTAGGGTTCCTAAGTATCCAAATCGTTATTGATACTTACTTTTGTAAGTCAATGGTTCGTCTCCCCCCATTTCTTTGTCCATGAGGCAGACCAAGGCAAGTAGCTAACAGGCGTTCCAACCAGCTCACTGTAGCTCTTGACATCCGGAAATGACTTCGAATGTCTGAAACACTGCAGAGTGGTATAATATGTACGAAATAATGCTCAATGCGTACATGACTCTGCCTCTCCCTACTGGTTATCAACGGAAAAAAATGCTAAAATCCGTATGCATATTATTATTACTTTTCTCCATACTGCTCTTTATCCATTTCCTAAAGTGCTGACAAGGAGAATTCGTTTACCAATCAAACGCTTCTTTCGTTAGTGATCATTTCCTTTATTCTCATGACCTTAATGTGTGATTTAGGGATGATATTGTAAGGACAAATTATATGCTTGTCACTCTTGGGGGTTTAAGGGTTAAGAGAATTTTTAACGATTTTTAACTCTCAAACTGTTTATCTTACATATCTAGTTACCCACAAACAATATACAAAAATTCGTGTCATATACTAGTGAGTAGAAACTGCTTTATACTGATTAAATATAGGAACAGATAACGTGACATGTGACGCAAATTTCATATATCGTGATAATCGCCACATTTGGAAACTCATTTCTCTATTATGTATTCCAATGATTCGTATCACCTTCATCGCTTTTATTTTGTGCATAGTGGAATGTCTTCTTAACATACCCTGACGATGCCGTAGATCGGCGAAAGCTTGGAATAAAAAAAGAAATGCATTAACTCCAGGCCTCAAAGGAATCGCTCGTTTAATCGACATGCACCTGAAGGACAACTTTCATTATCATGCATACATTAGATTATAAACTCTGATTGGTCGAGAGCACACATCACGATATCGTGCTCAATCTCATCCAATAATCTTTTTTATGTAGGTGTGAAATATTCGTATTATTTTGCACCTTAAGGCTTTGTCGTCGAAAGTCTTTATTGTTGAAGGGCTGTATCGTTGAATGAAGGTGTAAAGAACGCCACAAGCTCTGTAAGCTGTGTTAGGTAAGTATATCCGCTTAAGCTTGACTGATCTATAGTTGTAAACCTCGCCTCATACCTTAATTTTTTCACACAAAGCTGTTTGGACATTGAGAAGAAATTGAGCTCGTTTGAGAAAGCCCTTGACTCGATGTTCAAAAACTTAGAAGATGGTAAAATTGTTTTTCCGAGGAACGTGTCCGCTTTAGTCGCATTTTTAGGATCCGGCCACGGTTGTTCATAGGATGGATAGCTACTTATCCGCTGGATAAATCACTATCCAGCGGATAAATTTTACCCATGACGTACTATCGGTTGTTTAAAGTATGGATAACGCTATCCATTCGCTATCCATTCGCTATCCAGCGGATAAATTTATCCATGGTTTGGTAGGTAGTATAAATTTTTATCCACCGGATAATAATAATAATAAAAATTTAAAAAAAAACAAAATGGCCGCTCGGCAGTTACATCTTCTGCGGTGTAACTTTCCCGAGCAATCAACGTCGTCGAAAGACAAGAATTTTTCGCCGACAGCTCGATCCCTTATAGTCTTACACTAACTCTGAATTGAGATCCACGCATCGTTTTGGACGAGAATCAATACAATACATCGGTAACCTAGTTGCAGATGAAATAACACCACAAACAATTAGGAACCATGCTGTCTCAGCGGTAATGCAAGTCCTCGTTACCCTCAGATTCTTGGTTTCGGGTTCGTTTTTGCTGGTGATCGAAGATACTTTTCTGGGATTTGATAAGTCAACCGTCAGCCGAATACAGTAAAAACCCACATAAAAGAACAAGTGGATTAAAACACTCAGGCTGAAATTTGGTCAAAAAAGTTCCATTTACATCCAGCCTGAAATATGAAGTGTTCTGATTTATAAAAAAAAATTTGGCTGCCAGTAGGATTAGAATAACCCACTTGGGTACAGTACTGGGGAAGAGCATTGAAAAGAGGGAGGGTGAGCTGGTGCATTTGAATTTGCTTGACTTTTGCTGAGTTTTGAGTTGTTTATCACCCGATCTGCTATCCCTCCCACAATGTAATATTATTGCCTAGATTAATGCAGTTAAGGTTAGGTCCAATGTTAAAATGTTGTGCTTGCACATTGATTTCATCTGTTGGTGGTCGATGCAGTATTTAATTTTAAGAAATTAATTGAAGAACACTGTAAGGACATTTTCAGGCTGATCTTGCAGAAAACACCCAATATGTAAAAACAAAATCAGCCTGAACCCCCAAAACATGGATTCTTTTTCATGGGTTTTTACTGTAGTTTGTCATGTGACACAAGTCTTGACTGCAAAGTTAGGTGATTTCATAAGATTTCTGTCTACTCGCGCTGAACAAGAGGAGATTAAGCAAGGTTTGTTTCAAGTTGGTGGTTTTCCTTCTGCCATTGGGTGCATGGATGATACCCACATTAGAATAACTGCCCCTAAGGAAAATGAACCAGACTTTGTGAACTGGAAAGGATTTCACTCCACTGATGTCCAGACAATATGTAACCTTTGAGGTAAGCTAATATCTCTACCTCTGATTATTGGTTTAGCATAGGGCAACATGTCTGTTTAACTCCAAGCTTTACTGTGAACACTATGTCATGACAGCAATGAATGTTCTTTGGCGATCACTGGATGTGTTCTCCAACATGGATATTTTGCAGTGGAATGTGTTGGTTTGAGTGCTGGAGTAAAGCATTACAGAGCATTCTCTCGCTAGGTAGAATTGCTTAATAACATGTAATTTGTCATTGCTCAAAGATACAGGCCAAGGAATGTCTTGAAATTTACCATATTAAGAAAAGGGATAAATGTAGCTAATTGTTGTTGGTTACAAACCATATTTCATTGTTAGCAGTAGTCCTGTTCTGAACACTTTATTTTGACAAAATGAATGAAGTGATCCCACTATAACTACTCCAAATTTAGGGCCTATGTGTGTTTTTACATTGTGACAATTTTACGGGAATACAGTTTTGAACAAGGAAGACACATGCAGAAATACTATGTAGCTAAGCTGTATGAAAATGTTGTGTTGGACATAAAAAACATTTTTATCAAATACAATTGAATTTGCAGGATTGTTTACAAATGTTGTGGCTAGATGGCCTGGTTCAACTCATGATAGCCACATTTGCCGAATGTCAGCCGTAGGAAGTAACCTTGAAGGGACTGGTCTCACAGATGGTGTGTTACATGGGAATGGTGGCTATGCATGCTCTCCATTCCTCATGACCCTGTACCTCAACCCCAAAACACCTCAGGAGGAGCATTTCAACAGAGCACACAAGATCACAAGATGTACTACAGGGTAAACTTTCGGATTGACAAGGAGGTTCCATGTGCTACACTCAGAGGGGAGGATGGCTCTATAATTGTAGCTTGCTGCATTTTGCATAACCTCACTGTCAACTTAAGGGAACCAGAGCCAGAGGACTGTGACATGGATGGTGGTGAAATTGGTAATGCTGTTAGAAAGCACATAACTTACAATTTTTTTTTAATATCTACACAGGGATATTGTGTGCTCTGTTGAAATGCTCAAACACACACTTGCAAAAATTGCAAAAATGTTGACATTTATTGTAGCATGATCCATGAACAGTGAGACTTAATGGCTCTATGGGAAATGTTGGCCTATTGTATTACAGATATGCTAAAGAAAGAAACAACTACAAAAAAATACAATAATATGTGTGGTGATGAGTTAGCAAATTTAAAAATTTGTTCCTTTTGGGTCATAGGGTGTTTCCTTGATGTTTGACTGGCTAATAATTTTGTTGAGAGCAATTTTTTGGTGTTTTATCAAACTTAGGCTTTGCAAAGTCTCATTTCATTATTAGCAACACCTTTGCTGGGTCATTATTAGGAGCCCTCAGAGATAAATTTTTTTTTAGGGAACTGACATGGAAAGGCATCCTTTAGAACATTTTTTCTTTTATTTACCCCTTGTTCTGGAAGTAATGTTGTTAGGAAACCACATTAATTGTTTTGCAAAAAGTTCAAAATATTTTGCCTTCTTCAACAGTTTTCATAGATTGTTTTCCTTTGTCTAATGAATGATTTACGACAATCTTTATGTTTAGACATTGGGATGAAGTGGTTTGGCATTCTTATGGGAATACCCAGTACAGTCTGTCCATCCTACATTAAAATTAAATCATTCACTCTTTTTATACTCATCACACTCAGTTCTGGCTAAGGTGTTTGCATGGAATTTTGTATTTTAATCTTTGGTTATCTATTTCTTGCAAGTACATTAATTGTGATCATTTTGACTATACAAGTCACATCTTGAAAGCAACAAAAGCAATGAAAGGTTAATAATTCAACTTAAACTGAATGGAATCATGTTAGTATATTGTCAACAAGTGTATTTTATTCACTCTGTAATTTGTGGAATGTAAAGTGAAGAAACAATTTCAAATTGAGGTTTGATTTCAACAGCAATTCACACTCTATAAATGAAGATTTTGTTGTTTGTATTGACTCTACCATAAAAGTGCCATTACAAGCACAAATTGCTGCCTTAAGCATCAGGGTATTACATGGAATGATCAATTAACTTTAAAAGTATCCCCCCTGTTATTCTGAGTTAAAGGATGGGCCTCATGAAATATTTCCTTTTTTTTATTTGAAAATATATACATTACAATTAAATCAGAGAAATGCTCAAAATAATTACATGAAGCTAAAACACTCCATTAAATGATGAGTTTTACAACATAGAGCTGAATATGTCAGTTTTATAATGCATTTAAAATACTAATGGTCTCTGCTGTATATCTGCAGTTGCTATTTCACCAATGAACATGTGTGTATTTTATTGTTTTGGTTTCAAATTTTTAAAATCAGTGTTTTTTTTTTTTTCTTTTCCCTTCATTTCAGATCATGATAACAGGATACAAATAAAAGCTTGCAAAATTGTGAACGGAAAATTTGGTTGGGACATTTGAACACAATTTTTGCCCAGAGGCATGGGAATTTCAACAAACCAATCTTTAAAATTTCAAATGCCCAGGAAGCTGCCCAGGAGGTGGTGGGGGATTTTGAGGCTTCTTCCGTAGCTGATTGATGTATTAGTAACAAAAGGCAACCAAATTAAAACCATTATGTGATTAAAGCATGTGTACACATCTGGGAAATGGTTTATCAGTGTCATGAAAATATGGGGAGCAGACAATAACATACATTAACACGGGTGTGTTTCAAAAAGCTCAATAATTTTTGTAGTGGTAGCCTCTGAGGAATCTGGTTTCTTTCCAACCCCAGTCTTCTTTCTTGCAGTGACACATTTTCTGTGCTCTTTCTTTGCTCTTCTCACCATTCCTCTGCACTTTTCTCTCACCTCCATGACAGTTCTTTTGGCAACTCTGAACACATTGACTTTTGTCAGTTATTATCCCCCCTCTCCCCCCCCTGCATATTAGACTCTTAGTTATTTAATTATTTATTTATTAATTTATTAATTTATTACAATTCGATGGCAATAATATAAACAACATCATCATTAGAATAGCCTACAAAAGAGTCACAGACCCCATACAAAGGTAGTCCACCTAAAAGAAAAGACAAGACAAGAGATGTATGTTATATGCCCTACAAGAGCATCAAATGAGAAATAAATGACAATCATCACAACTTAGATAGAGTGTATGAATAAAAAATTAAAAATCAGTCATATCTTGATAGCAAGAAGTCCCTTGCACCCTTCTTAAAACTGGGGTGGGTGCCTGACACACTGATAAGGGTAATTTATTCCACATATCCTTAAAAAAACTGCTTTACAATTAGTAGTTCTGGCAAAGTTCTTCTCAAGAGTAAGTTTATCCCTTCCCCTGAAGTGATACCAATCAGAATTGGTATAAAGTTGAATATAAGTAGATATGTCTATACTTAAGAACTTTATACAAGAATAAAACATCAAACAAAAAGTGTCTGTCCTCCAAAGACAATAAATTCAGTTGTTTCTGTCGTGGTCATCATCTGACTTCGGAATAAACTTAGGGGCTCTCCTGAATTTTTCTAACTTGTTAATGTTCCTACCTGTTTGAGACGACCATACGACATAGTACAGTACTCCAACTGGGATCAAAACAATGTTTTCAAGGCAGTGAGTGCACAAAACAATGTTCTCAAGGCAGTGAGTGCACTAAACAATGTTCACATGGTAGTGATATCCTTCATACCCTTGCATGTCCTTTTGATACAACCAAGAATCTTGTTTGCGTTACTAGTAATTTTGTTAACATGGGCATTCCATGACAACTTGCTACTAGTAAATAGGCCAAGGTCAGAAAATTCAGAAGTTTCCTCCAGGATGTGATTGTTTATTCTTAAGTCAGAATGAAGAGGCAATTTCTTCTTGGTGATACGCATTAGCTTACATTTTTAGTCAATTAAACTTTGTTGGCTCCAGAAATACAAGTTATCCAAATCTATTGTTTTTGTTCGAAAGTGTAGTGGAAAATTTAGTCCAGTTTTTTTTTTATATTTTCTTCCGCCTCTTCAGAAATAACTGCACATTTTGCAGGTACGTGAAAAGTTCGGCCTTCTGGCGTGTTTTGCCGGGTAAGGAGCAACATTTTCTGCCAGGTGGTCTCGCCATTAGCACTTGCAAGCAAAGAGGTCAGGCAGTGCCATGGTTATCACCATGACAACTGCCTAGACGGCGAGTTGTCCATCGGATAGTTATACGCCTCACTATCCGTGCTTTCTGCAACAACTTTTTATCCGCTGGATAGCAATCCAGTGGATAGGCATCTTATACACCGGATAAGCTTATCCAGTGGATAAATTTATCCATCTTAAATTTATCCATCCAACAACCGGATGAAAATTTGATGTTTGCTCTAAACTTAGTTTGTAGAGGTAGAACAGTTATATGAGATCGGCACGCATGAAAGGACTAGTTCCCGTGACTCGTAGCGAGGACTAAGTCCCTTCCAATGAACTACCATTTTTCATCAGATATCCAAAATATGATCCCTGCGACTTGTCCCACGAATTCAAACTGGTTTGAATTCGTGAAAGAAGTCGCCAGGACTTCTTTCCTCAAATTATCCAGATCCCTGCGTGAGAACTGTTCGTGGGACAGGTCCTTGCGACTAAATGAAAGAATCCATTCACTTCAAAAGAGAAATATATAGAGACTAATACATGGGCGCGCGTAGATATGGAATTTCTCCTCAAGTGTTTAACTCGAAGAGTTTATTAATGAATGAAAATGAAAGGATGGACACTCAGAATAAAAATCTTAAAGTGCGTTGGCTCACTCAAGATGAAAACATGCGTTGAATCACTTCAAAAACAAACAGTGGGCCTAATTCAATATACAAAATTATCAGTTACTGGATTGGTCCTTACCGACAGAAGAAATCTTTCAGGTTCACGGCTAAAATCAGCCTGCGGCAAATCTTGAAGTTGTCGATTTTCGTTCTCAGCGGCAAGAAATGTTATTACTAAAGCCACTGAATACGCAACTTTCGGTTTTTCTTTTCATATTTGGGTTTTCTTACCCTTTTAGGAAAATTTGAACGTTGCTGTCTGTAAGCGATACGGATTTTGTCAGTGTCTTAGCAGCCATAATCCTTAAAGATTCCGACAAACGACCATGAATGGCGAAGGCTTTGTTGTTCATTCATCAACCTGACTGAGTGGCGCGAAAGGCGAGTGACGTGTCAGCGGCTGATTGGCGATATCAAACACATGTAAAAAATATTGTATTTTTCACGTGTGTTGTTACGGCTTTTCCCAAACCTGGAAATCCTTGTAAAACACTGTAGTTCATATGATAAGATCAATTTTCACACTATGTGGTCACTTCCAATGGAATCGCGACATTTCGGCTGCATATATTCTGCTAGTCTTCCTCGCCTGAAGAAGACTGGCATTATGCAGTCCAAAGTCGCGATCCACATCCGAAGTGACTCCATCGGGAAGCAAACGATTTTATCATATAAATTACGGTGTTATACAAGGATTTCCAGCCCTGAGAAAAGCCGTAACAACATACGTGAAAATATACGATATTTTTTTACATGTGTTTGATATCGCCAATCAGCCGCTGACACGCATTCGGACTGAATTCCTTTTTGATTAGCTCAGGTTGCTACGCGACTCCGCCCAATACTATAATATATTTCCCCTCGACTAGCCACCAGTATAATGGGATAATGGCGTCTTAAAAATCGCAATTAATTTATTAGATTGTGCAGTCTTTCTATGTCGCGATAAAGTGATATTTTATACCATAGGAGTAAATATTTTGTCATCCGCAGGCTTAAACGTTCATGACGGGGTGACTTTAAACAGAACCAAAATGATCTTAACGACGCAAGCTAAAGTGGTTAGTTCGATTTTTATTATTGGTTTCACGACCTATCTCTTGTACGTTTCCTACCAAGCGGAGTTCAGACAAGGAATGAGCCAGCTCATAAACGTCACCTGCAGAACAGGTAAGTCAACGAGTTAGAAATGATTTACAGCATTAGATGCTCATCACATGAATTATGCCGTCAGAGTCTAAATTAAGACGCAGGTAAATATTGAGGAAAATGAAAGTAACATAACTTAGTTCGAACAAGGAGAAATACGCTTCCGAAAGCTTTAGAGGCCTATTTACTTCGTGTTGTCCCGTTTACCAGAAATTAGCCATTCGCTGTGTAATGCTATCGCAGATTCAAGATAACAAACTGAAGATCGTATTAAATAATTTCTCAAAATTAACTAACATACAATGATCACCGTGGGTGATGATGGGTAATTATCGTAGAGAACACGCCCCTGATCAGTTAGTCTTGCCTGTTCCGGTGTATCGGTTTCAGATCGCTCTAACGCTCTGTCAGTTTCGAGCTAGTCAACGCTTTACCGCCCATACCACCCATACAGGTTTAGTTTATTGATCTCTAGTGCCAGCGTCTCGTGCTGCTAGTCAATAAACTATGTTGGCCAAATATTGTAGTCTGTGTTTGATACTACTAATGATTTAACTTATCGATTGGGTTCCCAAGCAACAAATTTTATTGAGTGAACAGAGTGAAAAGCCTAAAAATATCCGCTGTTACCAAGATATTCGAAACTTCTCTGCCGCAGAGACTCTACAGTGAGCGAGGTTTATTACGAAGTTCATATCACATGTGCCGTACATACTGCTTGGAACAGCAATGTCGATAGCGTCAAGTCTGTAAATATAATACACTTACTATCTTTCTTATTCTATTTACCTAAGAGTTTGTACGTGATAGAAGGCTCTATTGGTGTCCCATCGATTAAGAAGCCGACATCGTCTTCCTCCGTTTGTTTCTGTTGGGAATTGCATCTTCTGAATATTTAGGATTCCCTTTTCTTGGCGTTCAGAAAAATGCCCTTGTCATTGATCTAACTCGAAACTACAGCTATAGTGCAAAATTTAGTTTCTCTGTACAGTTGGCGTATTTGCGTTCCTGACTGAGACTGGAGTGTCCTTTTAGAGCCCCTGGAGGGATAAGATCGCGTCCTGAAGTTGAAAAATTCATTAGGAGAGATATTCTTCTTGATGACAGGGATACTGGCGTGATCATTGATGCAGGTCGCTCACAGCTGGTGCGCTTATGATAAGAAAGTGCTTATTTTGGATATCTGCGATCTCGTTTTGTTTTTCAATGATGGTTTCGCCTTCAGTTAATTAAATAGTCTCGGACATTGCTTGGCGAAGTATCCATTGATCTTCTCTGGCTAACAACGCGATCTCTCTGTTGTCGATACTTTTCCCAATCGCTTTGATCTTTCGTGACATAATATTTGCGCTTGGATTGATTTCAAAAGTAAATAGCGGCTATCACTTCAGAGTTAAAGTAGGGCGGTTATCGTTTCGTAGTTTTCTTCTTTACGAAGGAAGCATGATCATCAAGCACGTCTTTTTAGCAGTTTTTCTCATGCCCAGTACACATCATTGATGTCTTTAAAGGTGCTTGCAACATGGAAAGGAGTAAAGACAACATCTCCGTTGTATCGTATAGAATCAAATCTCTTAAACTTTCTTCTCATGGAAGTCTTAGGACCCCTTTTGGGGCACCTAGCTCTCGTAATTGTACATACCAGATGATGATCGCTTATATCTGGGTTGAAAACACCTGTGTGCAAGAATTCAATTCTTTTGGATGTTAGAATTACGTCAATTAGAGTATCGCTATTTGCCGTAGCTCTAGTTGGCGCACTTACAAAGCTTTTTAGATTGTAATCGTCGCAGAGGTTTAGTAGATGTCTCCCTAACTTTGGCTCCTTGAAGGGTTCCAGAATGTTACAATTCACGTCTCCAATTGGTGTGTAATCGTCCGAAAGTCTGCTTATCAATTCAATTGGTCGTTCTAGCTCGGATGACCAGATTTCTTAGGCCATTTTTGACGGTCTGCTTAGATGAACCAAAATAGATCTCCATGAGTCCTTTTGAGTTCTGACCTCAATGGTAGCTGATTCTAGACCAATGAACTGTTTGTTTAAAGGTCGGACCTTGCATAAATTATGAGGCCACCTTTAAAATTTGTTATAACTTATCGATTTGGCTGGGATTCTTTAGCATAAAACTAGCTCTCTGGATATAGCTGTTATCGGTTTTAGTCTCTGAGAGAACGAGAATATCTGAGAAATTATTTATCAGCACGTTCTAAACCTCGAAGAGCTTGATTCCGCCGATTCTTTTTGTTTCCTTGTGGTAGGAAGACACGAGATAAACAAGCTCGAAAGTGCTGCCCACAAAAATAAACCACCTCAAAAACTTCGCTTGTCGTTATTGGTCTTAATTCATCTGCCTTGAAATTGGTTCTTTTGTTTGTTTTGTTTTTGTTTGTTTTTTTTAATTTTTTCTTCTTTTGTAGGAAAGATGATCATTCTTGAAATTCTTTTCATTGGAGAGATCCCCAACCATTACAACGTAGAAGCGTAATAATTGGCTATTTCCAAACTTCTACATTGAATCAGTCTCCCCCTCTATTCAATTAATTCTGGTTAGTTCAGGCTTGATTGCGAGTACTTCAAAATAAACTTTAATATTTTGTCTATCGTAGATGAGATCGTTAGTCGAAAGGTTGTTCCAACTCAAGCTACAGACACAGAACAACCCACGAATAACTCGTCGCCAAAGGTTTTCATTTATCTCACTCAAACAGAACAATGCCTCCCTTCAAACTTTGCCTCTTCTTCCGAGATCGGCGACCCCGAGACATGTAACTGTGATGTCATAGTGCTAAGCTTTCGTACTAAATGTCAAGTGCAAAAGTCGCCCCACATCACTTATCTGTTCGATCCTAATACTGGATGGGGAACAGGACGAAATGTGCTGTATTTTGCTGCAATAACGAGATCCCCAAAATACCATTATTACATTTTTATGGATGATGATGTGATGCTGCATTTCAATTCATTTGCTCCGCCAGAAATGAAGAAGCTTCCGCCGTTTAGAGTCTTCGAACAATGGCTCTTAGATTACGAGCCTGTAGTTGGCGTTTTGGATTATGGAGTTCACTATGGGGCAAGTTGGACCAAGGATAGACGACGGACTATATGTAAAAAGACAGACAATCCCCTTGTGATAACATCAGTATGGTTCGATGGTGTTTTCAATGCATTTCATTATAAAGCTATCGAGCATCTTTTCCCTTACCGCACGCAGTACGAAAAAATAAGTTGGTGGTCGCTGCATCGATACATGTGTACTGCTGTAGAACTGATATTTCGAGGCCAGGCATTGATGTATGTGCCTATTACTGCGGGTAACCCAACCCATCGCTCATACCCAAAGAGTGTGTCGAACATGAATGTATACTGGAGAAGTTACGTCGACACTATTCGAGCAGAAGCTCCTTTAGTTTACAGAAATCAGTCGTTATTTGACGTACTAAGGCAGAATCTTGAGGATTACATTATGAAAACGAGAACATATTGCATGAATGAATCACGACATCAACCTATAAAACCATACGCTCATTTTGATAGTCGAACAGAGATGTAGTTGAGGTTAGTGAAGAGATAAACTATAGTTCAGCGATTTTTCTTAATCTTTCTTCTTTTAGGCCCAATCCGTGGATTAAATGCGAAAACCATTCAAATTATAAGGCGCTTTGTTAGTTTATAAACTTGTTGAATTGTAACAAAGTCTCAACAAAGAGATGTCCGCGAGGAGAAGTTCGACTCACGTGTTGTCGGGTCGCTAAATTTTTTCTTTTTTCACAGTTAAGCAGCCAGGCTGCTTCAAAATTTAAGATTCAAAATGGTGACGGTTGTCCATTTTCAACAGATATTATGATAAATTCTGAAAGTTAGTTTGTCCCAGGAGGAAGGAGGTGACTCCATTGTTTTCTGGTGTAAATCACTGCTAGTGTGACGTCACGTAGTTTCGCATGCTTGCTTAGTTAAGCGAGGGAACGCCATTTGTTGGAAACAAACAGAAGGCCATAGGCTATTATTAGGTTACTACAAACTGATTTACCATGTTTGTGCGAGGTTTGTTGTATATTTGCCTTTGAGTTTAATTGTTTATTGTTCTGTGAAAGTGATTATTTGTAATTTCATTAATTGTAATTTCACCGTATTGACTTCGGAACCTGTCAAGAGAAACCAAACTAATGCTGTTTTATCGCTAAGCGTTTAATAGATCGACCACAATTAAAGTAGTTTTTCCCTTATTAATAAAATTTTATACCCTTTGTTATCTGGGGTCAATCTCATCAGTCATTTTGCTCATCAATCCTTTAATTTTAAGTTGTTATTTTATCCAATTGTACTGAACAGTGGTGAACCAAGAGTGTTTATCTATTTTGTCGGCTTGTGTCGTATGTGACGATAAGTTTTCGCTCGCTACACTGAAATTTTCGGAAAACGTACAAACGGGGGGGAAATTAGCTCGGTAGAGACCACTCGGCTTGCGAGAACGGAAATTCGTACTTGTACCGACGTCATGGATGAAACAGCATTTTGGTTCCACAGTACTTTTATTCTAGGTCAGGCCAACAAGCGACATGGCCTCTAGCGTACTCAAGTTTGTAATCATCAAAGCTGTACAAGGTACTTGCTTAAGAACTAACTGGTGTGAGGTGCTATTGTTACACAAATCGCAATATTTGAATAAGGACACAAAAGAGCGGAAAAAGGTCTCTTTGAAGTTAAACGAAAACTACTTAAAATTTCCATCTGTTTCTACGACGGAAAGAATCTCAAAATGAAAAAGACGGATGCAATAAACTCGAGGTCATTAAAGTAGGAAACTTAGGTGCGAATTCACAGCTCTGGTATAGAAAACAATACCTATCTTAATCACAGCAGAGCAGCTTGGGAAATAAAAAAACCCATGTGATGAATAACAAAAGTGCCGACAAGCAGGTGCATAAGATGAAAGCGAGTAACAGCAAAAATCTATTCCAAAAGCTACTGTGGTTTTTTATACATTTTATTTAACTCACTAGAAGGAAAGACCCGAATAACCCAAATATTTAAAATGCGGAAGTAGGAATACATGTGGTGAATATTTGCCCAAAACCATGAAAACCCTTAATATAATATTTTACGTTGTACACTGACAATTTAATTTTTCGATTATAATAATTACAATCATAGTGATAGCCACGATTTCAATAGAACCACTCGTTCATCATTCTTTCCGGCTCAACCGGTCGAGTCAAAGAACGAACAAAAACAAGATACAAATTTAAACTTGAAAACCAAAACCCGAATTGAAATATAACCCGAAGTAACACTGCGCACATGAATTTTTCCCCTAATACGTTTAGCACAAACTATTGAGTGTTTAGCTTGCAGCCTTGTGTTTTTTACTAGTGTTCAACGAAAGCTCCCTGTGTAGTTTTTTAGCTTGTGGACCTTGTTATGATCTTTTGTGGCTTTTAGTCCACAAGGTCACTACATATACCATTGGTATATTACTATACATTATCGGGGCTGGGATGTATCTACCCTTTTTTACCATTTTTTTTTATATGCTACTTTGTCTGTCCATGTTTTCTACTATTAAGAGGTTTCTTTCACTTTCCCAAGCTTGTAAAAACTTCCAAATTCTTTTTGTCCCAGGCCATTGTACAGAGTGTTTCTAAATCAAAATCCGGATGTTGTAACTTTGGTAATTACTCTGTCGTTGTATTTTCTCTAATGATAACACAAGTAAGGTTGCTTTAAAAGGATTTACCAGTCAAACCCTTTATTTTGTTTTAGCCCGTCATTTACATTTCTATTAACTGTACTTTTCTTTTTGTTAGGAAAATTTTAACAGGATTTTCTTGAGGAAAATGTTTAAGCACTCTGCAACTTTAAACAGGGTAATTGAAATACTCTTATTTCGTGCTGTTACCACTTTTAAATGAAATCATTCTTTACTTTGCTTGAAACAGTTGATAAATGCGTTACTTATTCAGCCACCATTAAAATTTTCACAGACAAATCATTTTTTGAGTTATTTGAATATTAAAGAGTTTTCGTTGCAGCCTTATAACCAACTGCTTTTTTTATTTCCATGACATTTTGTCAAAATCTTATGCAATCTATCACTTGATATAAGAATTGCAGCTTCATTTTGCTCATGTTTCCTTGGTTCTTGCTGCCATCAGTCCTGTCATACCATTTCTTGTGACTTTATGCGCAAAAATTAATAGTGATGGGACAAAGTTTTGATGCAGGCTGAAAATACTCAATAGAAAAACCTCAGTTGTATCTTTGTTTTAGATCTTTGTTATCTTACCGTTCAACTTTTTACCCCATCTCAGCACCAACCTGTGCCTGCAAAAAACGCTGGGTATTTAATCACAGGCATGTAAGGGATGTAAAAAAAACCTCTACATCGGAAGCACCACATGATTTCGTGCGACAGCTCTTGAACAACGACAATTTGTCCATTAAAAGACTCATCCTAACAAGCCAAATGACAATTAACAATCAAAGCATTAATGGGAATGTGATCTTACAAGAAAACGACTCCGTCAACTTAAGATTATTCGAAGCGTTTTATATCCGAAAGTGAAAGCCATAACTTTAAAACTCCCGGGAAGAATGTATTGAACTAGGAGGCCTTTTACTCTAAACTAGACTGCTTAGACTTTTGTTCTCGCTAAAACTTACCAGCAATTTTCCATGTTATAGTGTGTTGCCATCGCTGATAAGAAGTGCATGTGACTCATAAACTCAGTGACCAGTAGCAACTGACTTTAATGACCAGAGAAGGGAACAAGTAACGTGACTAGTAACGCAAGATTCATATATCCTAACATCTCCCCTCTTTTGGAGTGAGCTTACTTCGGAAACAAAACATATAAACGTAACCGATAGTCAGAGTCTCTAAAATGAATGCATAGAGTCCTATTGAGCTGAAGTCAATAACCGCACAGCCAACTACACAACAAAGTCACTGAACTTGGAGGGTGGCTTTACAACTCTTGTTCGAGTTTTCTTAATTGGAACAGATTTTGGTGTCGATGTTTGCTTCGGTTCAGGATTAGATAACTTAAAATACCACTTTGAAGGCTGGCTTTCATTCTTTATAAAGACTGGCTGTCACTGTCTTCAACTGGCTTCGTTGTTCAGCTGGTAGTTCAGCTTGCTTCAGAAATTCTTGATTTCTATGGAGCATTTCACTGTCTGAACTGGATTTTACCACATGGGATATGTCGGATTGCCCCTCAATACAGGCACCCATCCACTAAGTTTGATTCCTCTGAAGAGGTGCAACTCTGACCTCTTGCCCAACTTAAATTTCTGACAGGGTGCAGGAGGAGCGATGGAGTTACCATTTGGCCTTTTGCCTTTTTAATTTCAGCTTTGAAGTCAGAGAGTCTATTGGTGTGTTTCGTTGGTCCAACAGGGCTTATCACGGGTCCTTGTTGTCTTTGAGAGCCTTTTTGAACAAAGATTGAACAATAATGATTGTGGATATATGAAAATCATATATATGTACTGCAGTGAAGAAACGAATATAAGAAATCCTCGCAGCTGTGAACACTACTGAACTAGTAGTTGAAATAAGACCTGAAAAAAATTCAGGCCCGTACGGGATTTGAACCCATGACCTCTGCGATACCGGTGCAGATTAAACAAATTTCACAGCAGACTCCTCCTTTCCGTCGAGTCTGGTGATGCGAGAAGGAAGATAGGTGAGTGAACTCCCAATCGAACGGAAAGTGATGAAATTCATAGCTTGTAAACTGAGGAGCGTTGTCTGTTTCTAGTTTTTCCGGAATGCCACTTCTGCTAAATCGTTCCTTGAATATTTAAATTACAGAACTGGAGGTGTTTCCTTCCATTTACTTGAATTCCGGGTGATCAGGAAATTCGTGACTCTGCAACGGAAGCTTCTGATTCCTAGCTTGAAATTCGTTGCAAATTGAAAGTTGCTTGATCTAATCACGCACTTCTGCATTCATGCTAGGCCAGAATACAGTGTCTCTAGCTTTACGCAGGCAAGCCTCTACTCCTAAACGGCTGGATCGGAACCTGGACTTTCCTTTAGGTCTCAGTAACTAAGAGATGACTACTCCCGAGCCTTTGAACAGAACACCATTATGTACTATCAGGACGTCACGATAAGAACAATACTCCCGAATCTTGATTGGCACTTGGTTTTTGTTGATCCAGTCGTTCTGGTGTGACCTTCAGGGCTTGCATACGGTCTTGGCTCTTCAGCTCCAGGGAAAATATTTCACATGATTCCTCTGGCCCAGAGGTTTCAACCTGTGCGGCTCTAGACAAATGGCCAGCGATAGTGGCGACTTCTTAAACTTCGATTCAAGAGGCTTGTGGTCAGTTTACTAGATATTGGTTGAAACTTTCATAAGCAAAGACATTTTGGTTCGAAAGGACCTACGGATTTCTTCTTTTCCGATATCTTCTATCTTTAAAATGGAAGATTTTCCTCCATCGCCCTCTTAGGAAGAATTTTCGAAGTCTTCTAAACAGCTGTCGATTTTCTTATTGGGAAGCTTCTCTGACCATCGACGAACGCGGCAAAGTCGCTCAAGGGACCGATTTTTCTCGCCTATCGAGTCCTGTTGCCATCTCCTAATCGCTCCATTGCTACTCGAACAGTCCCAGTTGCCAGCAACATCACCATGGCACTTCATAAGAATTGGTAGCAGAAAATTATATGGTAATAACTTGATGATAAATTGGGGAAGTAGGTTGACCTGAGCAAGGTGCTGGTGATGATGGCGTGGCGATTTGCGCACCCGACTCAACGTTGTCGTTGTCTCCCGGCATTTTCTTACACTTTGAGCACAAGATTCATTCTGAAATGACGAAGAATAGAAGGAAACAGCATCAGGCACCTTCTGCGTCTGGTGTTCGAAAGCGGGTACAAAATCCTTAAATAATATACTTTTTCT